CTGTGGCACACAAAACTTTTGACTTAATATACTGTGCTGCTTCAAGAACTTGTAGGTCCTGACGTAGGAGCCCCATTGTAGGAGGGGCAGGAAATTCTGATCTTTACCTTCAAGCTCCAAAAGTTGGCTTAAACCAGACTTGGCTTCTCTGCTGGTAGTAGAGATTGTGGGAGCCTGCAAAGTCCGTTTTAGCAGTAATAATTCCTCACTTCTCACCAGCTAGCTGATGGTTTACTATCCACTTTTGTGCTGCTGAGCTCAGCGTGGAGGAGCCCAAGACAGCCACACCTTGTAACTTCTGCTCTGAGCTCCCCTCACAGGCTCCCTGTTTGAAAAACGACTCTACAGGGGTTGATAGTCTTTTTTCCAGATGGTTCACAGAATAGGTTTCCAATCTGGTTCTCAAGGAAGATTTCCGGCCATATATATTATGGATATTCTCAGGATATTCTTCCCATTGTCAGGAAGAATTCTTTTGTGTATTATCATCTTTAGTATGATATACTCAATAACACATACATTTTTTTCCAAATAGTATCTTTGCACACACACCTTTAAAATGATTAGCCTTTGAATAGAAGCGTAAAAGTATTCTTTAGAACTTCGTGCCTTCTGTCTAGGCACAAGGTAATGCTTTATTTATATTGTATGTGTGTGTGAGAGAGAAATAATACAAACCTAAGAAGAGTAATTTTCAGGATAGTATATACTATCTGACAAGTTAAAATTTGTTGACATCAGAGCATTTCAAAAGAAAAGAAGCAATTTTAAAAAACATATAATGCTCCCTGCCCACCTTGTGTGTGTGTGTGTGTGTGTGTGTGTGTGTGTGTGTGTGTGCGCGCGCACCCAGATTAATGTGATTATATTGGAATTTCCAGTTTGATGAGGTTATCACACAGTCCAGCACGTGGAACAGCAAGAACATTTTCTATCACCCTGTTACAGACTGAATGTTTGTGTTCCCCCCAAATTCATATATTGAAACTCTGATCCTCAATCAAAGTAGTAGTATTTGGAGGTGGGGTTTTTGGGAGGTGATTAGGTTTGTGAGGTCATGAGGTGATGAGCCCATGATGGGATTATTGTCCTAAGAAGAGGCAGAGACCAGAGCTCACTCGCTGGCTCCTGCCAGGTGAGGATGCAATGGGAAGGCAGCCATCGGAAAGCCAGCCCCCACCCAGAATCAAATCTGCTAGCACCTTGATCTTGGACTTCCCAGTCTCTAGAACTGGGAGAAATAAATGTCTGTTGTTCAAACCATCCAGTCTGTGGTATTTTGTTATAGCAGCCAAGCTAAGACACACCCGAAGTCCAAAGTATACATTAGGGTTCACTCTTGGTGGTATATATTCAATGGGTTTAAACAGATGTGTAACAACATGTATCTACCATAATAGTAGCATATAAAATCATTTCACTTTCCTAAAAGTCCTCTATGCTCTGTTCATTCATTTCTCCCTCCCCACTAACCCCTGGCCGCTACTGATCTTTTTACTCCACAGTTTTGCCTTTTCCATATGTCATATAGTTAGAATCATATAGTATGTAGCCTTTCCAAGTTGGTATATTTCAGTAGCGATAAGCATTTATGTTTGTATGTTTTCAGGGCTTGAAAACAGCACTGAATAATATTCCATTGTTTGTATGTACCAGGATAATTTTTTAGGATTGTGTACATAGATAATTACTAGTGAGGACAATCCAGTATGATGTTGGAAAGTAGTTGTGAGAGAAGACGTCCTTTCCTTGTTCCTGATCTTAGTAGGAACGCTTTGAGTTTCTCACCAAGTGTGATGTGAACTCTAGGTTTTTGTAGATGTTCTTTATCAAGTTGAGGAAGTTCCTCTCTATTCCTAGTTTGCTGAGATTTTTCTTTAAAGATTTTGTTTATTTATTTGAGAGAGAGAGGAGAGCATGAGTGGGGGTGGAGTAGAGGGAGAGGGACAAGCAGACCCCCCCCACAGCACGGAACCTATGACCCACGCGGAAACCGAGAGTCAGACGCCCAACCCACTGAGCCACTCAGCCGCCCCTTGCTAAGAGTTTGTATCCTGAATAGGCGTTAAGTATTTTTTCTGCTTCTATTGATATCATTTGATTTTTCTTTAGCTTATTGAATTTTGCACAGCCTTACATACTGGGGTAAGTCTTACTTGATCATGGTGTATAGTTCTTTTTCAATGTTTTGAATTTGATTTACCAATATTTTGGTGAGGATTTTTGCATCTGTGTTCAATATTGGCCAATATTGGCCTGTCATTTTCTTTTCTTGTGATGTCTTTGTTGTTTTTTTTGGGGGGGGGAAGCAGTTTTATTGATGACTTTTTTTTTAGTGAATGGTATTGGATGTCTTCCTCCCCCCTCAGTTTTTTGAAATTCCTCCACAAAGTCTCAAGACAATCTTGAGGAGAGAGCAGTTAGTTATTTCTGATCTGTTTCTTTATCCAAACGAGTGCAAAGCCTACACATTGACCGAAGAACACAAAGCAAAACAAAGCCAAAAAAAAAAAGAGAGAAAGGAGGAAAGCAAGCAAGCACAGCACAACAACCCCATGACCGGAGACAGTGTCAGGTAAAAACCATAGAAAAATATGAATTAATTCCATAAGGTTAACCATTAGCATTAGCTACAGTAATACTGTGTACAGCCCCTTAAAATGCCGAATCTCCTCATTACAGAAAGGAGCAAGCCAATCTATGGACAAGTATTGTTACAATACTTGTGCTATAGTTGTCTCCATGGCGCGGTTATGTCGGACAGGATGGATGCTGCTGATGCGGGCGCGCGGCTCGCGAGCGAGGGGGGCCCTTAACGCTACTGCGGGGTAGCTGGGGTACGAGGGCCAGTCTCTTCGCTGCATCCTCTGCTCTGTTCCTTGGGGAGGGGCCGTGGGCTGCACCAGTCACTCTGGGGCCGGGAGGAGGCGAGGCCGCCGCGGCTCCAGGTGCCTGGGAGCCCTGGTGAGCGATGACGCGCCTCGGCCTGGGAAGGAGCGGGTTTCCGAAGCAAAACCGCCTTCGGGACGCAGGACACACATGCTATGGGAAGTCACGCTTCTTACCCCCGCCCCCACCTCTGCGGGGGAGGGAGGCGGGTCCCGGCTGCACACTGTTCTTGGAGGAGTCCCCCATGGCACTCAGGCGGGTAATGCTGGTCTCAGAATGAGTTAGGAATGTATTCTGCTTCTATCTTTTTTTTTTTTTTAAGATTTTATTTATTTATTTGACAGAGAGAGACACAGCGAGAGAGGGAACCCAAGCAGGGGGAGTGGGAGAGGGAGAAGCAGGCTTCCCCCTGAGCAGGGAGCCGGGCAGGGGACTCGATCCCAGGACCCCGGAATCATGACCTGAGCCGAAGGCAGACGCCCAACGACTGAGCCACCCAGGCGCTCCTATTCTGCTTCTATCTTATAAAAGAGATTGTAGAAAAATGATATCTGTCCCTTAAAAGTGTGTTAGAATTTACCAGTGCACCCATGTGGGCCTATTGTTTTCTGTTTTGGTGGGTTATTATTGATTCAATCTCTTTAATAGACCTAGGCTTATTCAGATTGTCTACTTTTTATGTGAGTTTTGGCAGATTGTGTCTTTCAAGGAATTGGCCCATTTCATCTAGGTTATCAAATATAGGGGCAGAGTTGTTCATAATATCTCTTTATTATCCTTTTAATGTTCATGGGAACTGTAGTGCTGTCCCCTATTTCATATCTGACAGTAATTTGTGCCTTTTCTCTTTTTTCCTTACTTAGCCTGGCTTAGCTGCTTATTGATTTTATTGATCTTTTCAAGGAACCAGCTTTTAGTTTTCTCTGCTTATTTCTTATTTTCAATTTCATTGATACAGCTCTAAATTTTTATTTTCTTCCACTTGGATTTAATTTGCTCTTCTTTGGTTTCCTATGATGGAAACTTAGATGATTGATTTTAGATCTTTCTTTCTAATACATGTAATCACTGCTATAAATTTCCCTCTAAGCACTGCTTTCACCCATCCTACAAATTTTGATAAATTGTAAACATACGGGCAGTGACTAGGAAAGGTAGTTTCAGGCTATGAAAGTTTGAGTCAGGAAAGCCCTTGTTATTGTTCCAAGTATTCCTTCCAAGTAGTGGCCGCAGCGTGAAGATGGGAGAAAAAACGGGATAATAAAACAGACTCCTCTCACCAAACGAATCCAAGAGGCACCATTACACTGGGGATTTAAGATGTATTCTGGTCCAACCCTATTTTACAGGTGAGGAATCAAGCTTAGATTACAGTAATTGTGAATTTTCTTGACCTAACTGAAATGTATCATATAAAATGTAAGACAAAACAGTAACCATGTGTGTCAACAGGATTTGCCATCCTCCCTTAAGGGCTGGGCGGTGATGGTTTCTGATGTACTTTTTGAGTACAATTTTCCAAACTGGGTGAAGGATGCCTCACTAAGATCTCTGCTGAACCAGAAGAGCTCAGCGAGCGGAGGTGCCAGGAACCGCTCTGCGGGCATCGGGGTGGCGCGAAGTCGGGAGCCCGCAGCGCACCGGCGCGCGAGCAGGCAGGCCGCCAGCAGGCGGGAGGGCCAGGCGCCACGCCTCGTGGCCACAGGAAAACAGGGCATGGACTCCTCTCTTGGAGAGACTGAGACCAGAAACTTATTGAGCAATGTCACTACCCCTTTTCGGACCGTGAACCCTTTGAGAACATTCCTCAATCGCACGAGGAGAAGTTCTCCGTTTAAAAAAATTTTTTTTTTCTTTTTTGCAAAAATGTGGCTACCATTCTTCGGATCCTTGCAGCGCCCGCGGTGAAAGGAGGCTCGGAGCGTGTTTGGGGCCCGGGCCGCCTGCGGGGCAGCGAGCGGCGGCGGCGGCGGCGGCGGCGGGAGGACCCGGCGCTGGGGGCGCTGAGCGCAGGCCGCGCTTCCGGAGCCCGGCGGGCGGCGTCAGCGGAACGGGCGGTTCCGGCCGCGGCGTAAACAAGGGCCGGCGGCGGCGGGCGGCGAGAGGTGAGCCGGAGGCGGGGCGGGCAGGCTGGAAGCTAGTCCTGGCCCCAAGTGGACCCCCCCCTTCGGCCGTGCTGCCGGCGGGGGCCAGCCGCCGCCGCCCCCAGCCCGCGACCCCGCGGCGCAGCCCAGGCGGCGGAGAGGCTGTCCTCGCTGAGGAGGGCTGGGAGGGCGCGGGCGGCGAGCGGGCGGCCCGCGAGCGGCCTTCACGCCGTCCCCTTCGCCGCCGCCTTCTGCTCGCCTCTCGCCGCCGTGCATTTCTTCCTTTTCCTTTGTCTCTTCCCCCCTGGCGGGTGTGAGGATTGTTGGTGAACAAAAGTGCAGCCTCAAGATGGCTGATGGCAACGAGGATCTGCGGGCGGACGACTTGCCGGGGCCAGCCTACGAGGGCTATGAGTCCATGGAGCTCGCCTGCCCGGCCGAGCGCAGCGGCCACGTAGCGGTGGGCGACGGGCGCCACATGTTCGTCTGGGGCGGCTACAAGGTCAGTGGGCGGCCGGCCGCGGCGGGCGTCGCTCGGCCGGTCCCCGAGTGCGGGTCGGCGGGCAGGCCAGAGCGGCCGCCCAGGGCGCCCCCGCGACGCGACTCTGCCCGTCGGTGCATTTTCTCGCGAGCGGGGGGCTCCTCGCCAGTCCCCCAACCCGCCCCGACGCGCCTGGGTTGTTGTCACGCCAGCCCGCCGCTTGCAAAGCCCGCGCGCCCCCCCGCGTGCGGCGCCCCCGGCGGCCCTGGGCGCTGGTGGAAGTTGGAGCGTTATTCGGGGGAGGGCGCGTTGGGCGGCGCACGACTCCGAGACGTGTTTTATTTTTAAAAAGGTTGGGGGGTGGTGTAAGAGAGGTGACGTGTGATGTCACTCTTAACCGTTTATCGGGCCCCCTGGGGAGCACTTTACCCACCGGAGCCGGGGTCATTTGGCCCACGGATACCGTTGCCCGCTTATGGGGTAACCGAGGTGTAGGAAAACTCCCTGGAATTCCCGAAGGCCGCAGGAATCGCCTTGTTCAATCTTCCCGCCGGTTCAGGAGTCCTAGCTACACCTGTGCAGGTGGCCGTTACCGTGTTGTTTGAACACTGCAGGGCTGATTTCCTTTTGGTTTCAGCTGAGAAAGGGTTGACATTTTTCAGAAGAAACCCCTATTAAGAAAATTAACGGAAAAGGCTCTACCAGTAATGAGAAAAATCAACAGCAACAATTGTAACCACCAAGTCAGCTCTTTAACCCCTAATCATAAGCAATGTGATTCGTTACCAGTTTAGAGTCATTTGCGTTTCTTGCTACCTTTGGCTGGGGAATCCTCCCCAGTCTCCTATTGAAGCCTTGTTCACCAGTTCTCGTGCCCTTTTGCTATTAGAGCTTCCCAGTAACACTCCACGTTCTAGAATTACCTCATTGCATTTGCAGGGGTGGCTCTGATCCATTCCTACCAAAAATACTCTTTTTAGTCTCTAAATTGATGTCCCCACCCCCATTTGCTTGAATCTGGTCCACTACACCCGTGTCTTGGGATGACTTATTTTGACTCTGGTAATAGGTTTTGGCCTCTGGCACAGTTGACTTGATCATAGCTGATGACTGTCCAAAAAGCAGATGGAATAAACTGCTGTGGCTGTCCTGATGAATTCATTTAGTTTAACCACAAGAGCATTTTTTTTTTTTTTTGGTGCCAGTCCTAATTAATCTGCAATGTTTTCCTCAGGGTCCAATGAATAGGTGTTTAGAGGAGGGTACTTGGTAGGAGAAAGGGGCAGGTATGTAGAGACACTTATTAAATGTAAATGATTCCATTGGAGAAGTTAACCTGTTAGTCACACTTTGGTCTAAACTACTAATTCATAATTCTGTTTGTGAAAGTCAGCAGCGTTGAGAGAATGGGACTTTACTCTGGGGAGTGGGGATGGGGGGAGGGTTGTCACGATTTTTGATGGTGAGTTTTTGAGGGCCTGGATGCCTAGGACTTCGGCAGGAGGCAGGCATGATCAGTGAAGTAAGTGGGTGGTTCCAAAACAGGCTGTCCTCAGTATTTTGGCTAGAACCCTGAGAAGCCTTTGGAGATTGTTTTGAAGGCAATAAACCTTAGCTTCCTACACAATAGTCCGTTCTTTTCGGGCGAGGCTGCTCACTCCGGGTCAGCCTGCTGTCTTGTTTCCAGCCTTCTCTTCATAAGTGGTGGAATAGAAAATATTTACATGGCCACCTCCTCTATCTCTGTATAATACTTAATATACAAGCTTATTCGACTCTGACACCCATTCTCCGTGAACTGCTATTGTTCACCGTTTGTTGACATTGTTCAAAAAGTGGCCAGGGGGGTTCAAAGGCTGGGGAGGTTGAGCCTCGATTGCAGTTGCAAATTCCCTTGAATCCTGGTTCCACTGTTACTTGCAAGTAACCTTGGGCAAATAACTTACCTCTCTCAAAAACCTGTTTTCTTGTAATAGCAACTGCTTTTTAGGGTTGTTGGGAGGATTAAATAAAGTAATCCATTGAAAGCGCTCAGCTAGTTCTGGCATATGGTAAGCTCATTCTGTTAAGAATCATTACCTGAAGGGAAATGGAGCAGAACAAGGAACTTAAAATTTTGCATATGGACTTAATTGCACATGCGCAGTTCTGCCCCCGCTACTTCTTGGTAGAGAATGGATGGAGGAAAGGAGACGGCTAGAAAAGGACATGGTGTGTGAGTGGGTCCGGCGCTTACGCACTTGGTCTGTAGTGTGGAAGCCATGGCACAGGTAACCGCTCCCGAAGTCATGCAGCTGAAAGTTGGAGCATGGTCTCTTCAGCATAAAGTGGCCTTGGAGATTCCCTGGAGATCTCTTAACTGCCTGCAGCATTGCAACTGCTGTGTCAAAAGCTTGAATTAAGGGTCGGTTGTCTAATAAGCATTATCTTGAGTATGTGGAACGGGGCAGGTAGGATTGTCCATCTGCTAGAACTGAATTGTAAGACCTCTTTAACTTCTTCATTAATTCTCGTTAGTATCTCAAGGTAGATATGAAAAAATACACAATAGTGCCTCTTTAGAATACCAATTGTTTTTTATATTTGCTATTTTTTTATTCTTAGAGTAATCAAGTCAGAGGATTATATGACTTTTATCTGCCTAGAGAAGAACTGTGGATCTACAACATGGAGACTGGAAGATGGTAACTGTGGATATTATGAAGGAGACTAAAAAGTTCAAATAAGATTGCAAATAAAAAGAAACCCTGGGGGTGTCTGGGTGGCTCAGTCAGTTAAGCGTCCAACTCTTGGTTTCGGCTCAGGTTATGATCTCAGGGTCGTGAGATCAGGCCCTAAGTTGGGCTCCATGTTCAGCAGGGAATCTGCTTGAAGATTCTCTCCCTCTCCCTGCCCCCCCACCCCGCGCTCTCTCTAAAATAAAATAAATCTTAAAAAACCTCTGTAAAGCTCATTCTATTAGAATAAAAATATTTTAAATGAAGATGCAAAGGTATGCTCTAAAGACAATGTTCTGCTAGTTCAGCTTAGATGCTAAGCTTAGATATTTTAGCAACTCTTCAGTAGTTCAGTAATTTGGTACTTTGATGACCTTTGAAGACACTTCTATTCAAGGCTCTATAAAGTATCCTTGTAATATTAAAGAAGTAGAGGCTTCAGATCCTGGAATGGGAATATAGTAAAAGTTCTACATATATTTTTTCAAGATGTTATATCTCGTTATATGGTAAATGAGAAGAGGATTTCTAGATTGTATCTGCTAGAAATAAAGATGGTATTCTGAGCTCTAACATTAAAATTTCAGTGCAGATCCCTTTAAAATAGTGTTAACACCTAAATTTGCCTTCCGTACAACTGGGGATATTCTGAAAAGATCTTTTGCCAGTCTCATAACAGTGGTACTCAAGAGTATGTTCTTGGCAGAATTAATATGGTTCTCAAAATGTTGGGTTAGCCATGTTTGGGGATTTATCAAGTAGTCTCCATGGTTTGCTTTGTAAGAAGTCTGTGCCCTTTACATATTTTGCACATTCTAGATCACAGAACTAGAAGAGTAGTGGTCCCGCCTGATTTAAGGTTTCAATTAAAAAGTCAACATTATTTCTGTACATAGCAAATCAGTGTTGATCTGAGCTGTTTGCTTTTTTCTTTTTTTTAGGGAATTAGAAATTTATAACAGTATTCCTTTAATAGGGGAATTCTACAAATTTTTTAAAACATTCAGCCCCATACAGGATTTGTAAAAATAAGCCTACCAAAACTTAAAGCTTAGCATAAAGTGATAAAGTGAGCAGAAGACCTTAACCTATTAATATTCTGAATCTTGGATTTCTTAGACTTTTTGATTCAGATCAGAATGTTTTAAGGCATGCAAAGCACTCACAGGAGTGCTTGGCCTACAGTAAGTACTAACTGCCTATAATTTTACATGGGGTCTGAATCATCAGATTCATTTGAATGGCTAAAAGGTGACTGAATAAAACACACTTGTTGAATTAATCTGTCAGGAGTGGGATGAAGTTTTCCTCTGGGGTTCCTGGCTCACTTGAAACCAAAAACAAAATAGCCACTGGTTATGTCAATAAAGAGCAGTTTAGTTTGAGCCACACAAAATGGGGTGCTCTTAGGCTTACCCAACACGGAGGCTTCCGAATTCTCACTGCCCATTCGGCAGCAGCTGGTACTGCCTGGAGAGCGGCTGAGGAGGAAAGAACTCCTTCTCTGGATTAGTTTTAGAGCTAGAAGAGACCCCAGGCGTTATCTAGCTGGCCAGCCTATTTTATTTTTTCCCTTTATTATGGGGATAGGAGAAAAGTGAATAACTTTTGCATTTCTTCCCATTTCTGAAACATTTACATTGTTTTTTCTGCCCTCAGGAAAAAAATTAACACGGAAGGAGATGTTCCTCCTTCCATGTCAGGAAGCTGTGCTGTGTGTGTAGACAGGGTGCTCTACTTGTTTGGAGGACACCATTCAAGAGGCAATACAAATAAGGTTAGTGTTTCTCAGGATTATGGTTCAAGGCAATTTTACTCTTTTTCAGACAACTTCAGATTTCTAAGGTTAGCCCATACTTTTGTCCCAGTTTAAAAAATATGCATACGTGATAATGGTATGAATGTGCATTTTATTTTAGTATTTTTGTCTACCAGTCTACATTTATATAGGCCTTTGGTTGATAACTTATGTGCAGTAATTTCCTAAGTGGTTTTGCTTTGGGCTCTCTGCAGCTGCTTAGTCTCTTAGAACCCTGGGGTGTTAGATAAGTATTAGTAAACCAAATGAAAACAAGATGCAATCATGAGGGGCAGGGTAAAAATTAGCAGACCACCACTCAGCTATAAGGATAAATTAATACTGACAACGTTTTATATACTAACATTCCTATAATATGGCACTATAAGATACTGTTGTTTAGACTTTGTCGGTTTTTTTCCAAATAGGAAAAAGAGAACAGTTGTTGTCTCAAGCCAGTAAGACACAAATGTCAGAAAGGTGCGTATGATTTAGGGAGACTCATACATTTATTTAGCAACTTAGCACCTTGTGAGCACTTGGCTAGACTCCGGAGACACAGAGATGAAAGAGACAGTCCCCACCTCTAGGCACTCACATTCTAAAACAGACACACATAAGAAGTAGATGATTTCGGTAGCATATAAGGAGATACATAGAGCCTGGCTCATAGTATAATAGCTTAGTAAATATTGTTAAATCTGAAAAAGAATCCTTGACATTGTGTTTGGCAGGATGGAGGAACAGAATAAGGAAAGTCTTCACCCAAGAGGGTTGAATTGAATCATAATTGGAAGGGGTAGCCAAGATACAGATATCAAGAAGCAGAGGTATAAACAAATATGTCTCATTTATGGAAACGCCAAGTGGTTCGGTGTGGATGGAGCATATGGATGACAGAGTTTCAAACTGTACTCTTAGGCGCTCTAGGGATTTCTTTCACAGGCCTTGGGACACCTGGGGGATGAGCATACTGGTTTTGGTTAGGCTCCAGACCACCCCTCCCGACTCCCGTCTTAACAAGCGTAGCTCCTCTTAAGTTAGGCTTTGCTGAAGATTTTGTTTGAAGAAAGTGTTCTGTGCCTAGAAGATTTTGCAAGGCACTGCTGTGGGCTGTAGTGGAGCCATGTGTTTTTCGGGGCCAAGGCGGAGAAAGAGAACTTGGACATAACATGAAGCAGCTTGGGAAAGAAGCTGTGGCTTTAGGGCTGGACAGAAAAATGGGAGTAGTTAGTGTATCAAAGGGCTGGGGGTTGAGTATTTTAAGTTTGATCAGAAGGAAGATTAGGAGTCTTGAGAAGAAGAGATATATCTATATATATATGGTCAGATTCATTCAAGTACCTGGATGGAAACCCTTTGAAAGAAAGACCAATACTTAACTGTAGCGGCTAAGGATAAATCTTAAACGACTAAGTAGGCCTGCAGACGTGTTTGTTAAATTCAATTTGAAGGTGAAATTGCTGAGTTGAATTTTTTTGGTAATACCATCTTCCTACCCATCAATTGGGTTAGTAGGATCTAAGTGCCTATGTAATAAGGCACAGAATAAAAATCCACACACTTCTATTCCTTCATCAAAAAAATGAGGCAATTGGGAAAAAAATGAGCTGAACAGGGTGCCTAGTGACTTAGGCAGTTTACATTCTGGGGTAAGTTCCTTATGTAGATTCAGACCAGTAACAGTCTGTAATCACACTTTTAGGAGAACTGAATTAAAGGACATTCCTATTGTTAAGTCACAATAAAATTAAATGCCAAGGTGGAATTTCTTGCACATAACCAAATCTAATTGAAATCATTGCTTCTGACAGTTCTACATGCTGGATTCAAGGTCTACTGACAGAGTATTACAGTGGGAAAGGATTGATTGCCAAGGAATTCCTCCATCATCAAAGGACAAACTTGGTGTCTGGGTATATAAAAACAAGTGAGTTAGCAGCCCCGTAGGTTTGAGTTTTTATGTGCAAAGTGGTTTGCCATTGAAGTATCTTTAGACAATAACCATTCTAACCTTAGAACGTACCTTCTAGGGCCCACATGAGGGTTAAGTGAATCCATACATTAAAGTGCTTAACATAGCACCGAAGGCATAATTAGCCATAGTAGCCATTATTATGTGAATAAGTATTTTATATATTTAAGTGTGCCTTCTCAATTCATAGCATGACAAAAGAAAAACTTCTAGTATCTTCCTAACCTGTGGATGTTTAAATTTTTAGTGTTTTGGTTTTTTATCAAACAGGTTGATATTTTTTGGAGGTTATGGATATTTACCTGAAGATAAAGTATTGGGAACTTTTGAATTTGATGAAACATCTTTTTGGGTAAGTTAGGTTTTCATATTTGTATGTGGCCTTCTTGGTATATTGAAATAGTACATATTTGCTAGTCATATTATTTGGCCTTATTCATAAACCAGACAAAGCTATATAATTTTACAAACATTTGTAAAATAACTCAGATTCTTATTCATTTTCTGTAGAATTCAAGCCACCCAAGAGGATGGAATGATCATGTACATATTTTAGACACTGAAACATTTATCTGGAGTCAGCCTATCACTACTGTGAGTTACTGAAGAATAATGAATTATTAAAGCAAGGCTCCTTGGAGGAGAAAGGGAGTTGGGAGGTCATAAAAATGGACAGTTCATTCCTCTTTTTCTGGAGAGAGAAGTTCCATTGCTTTCATTATTCTCTAAGGAGTCTATACCTCAGAATAGTTTAGTGAATACATAGACTAACCCAGCATCCATTACTAATAGAGGTTAAGTGGTATTGTCTAACTAAATGACCTAGCACTAGACTGTAGTTTAAGTTACTCAAATACTAGATTTTTTCCTCTGACACAGGTGTCATAAAATGTGCTACCTTTTATTTTGCAAAAGATAAAAATAAGACAAGTGCGTTCGGTAACACATCTCAAATATAAAATTACAGTTCGCAGTTTTAGTGTTGCTGTTGAATAGACATCTGCACATTTGCTTAAAAGCTCAGGTGTCTTGCACATCCTCATCACATATCTGGAGAAGACTCTGGTATTTATTTTTAAAAATTGCTTTTATGACTTTTATAGGGTAAAGCACCTTCACCTCGTGCTGCCCACGCCTGTGCAACTGTTGGAAACAAAGGCTTTGTGTTTGGAGGCAGATATCGAGTAAGTGTAGGAAGAGTTTCAATGACTTGCTTTTGAGTCATTCAAAATGGTAATTACTTAATTGTCCTTTTTCAGGATGCTAGAATGAATGATCTTCACTATCTTAATCTGGACACATGGGAGTGGAATGAATTGTATGTATCACTTTAGATAATTATTTTTAAAACATTTTATTTTTTTATTGTTATCAGTATATAATGTACTTGCTTCAGTTTTCTATAACTGAGTATTTAAATAAACATGACTAGATCCTTAAAGGATTTTTTTTTAATTTCCTGTTCCTGTAACTGTACCTGGCACAGCAGTGTATGCTCAGTGTTTGCTGAAAAGCAAAGGCCTGAAGTTGGCTCTACCTTCTAAGAACATGGTTAAATTCTAAAGCATGTAGCTATTAATACCAAGAAGTTTTTTAAATTTAAAGTCTCTTTTTTTCATAATTCTATATAAACTTTAAAACTTCTTCAGTATTTCTGTGTATTAAATAGTAGCTGCTTTTCAACACAGATATTGTAACTTAGCTGCTGTTTTCAGAATTCCACAAGGCATATGCCCAGTTGGCCGATCTTGGCACTCACTAACACCAGTTTCTTCAGACCATCTCTTTCTCTTCGGAGGATTTACCACTGATAAACAGCCGCTAAGTAAGTCTTTTAAAAATATAAGAAATCATATCATTGATATGTGATCTATAAATAGCTGGAAAAAAAATCAGTCTATTTTAGATATATCAGAGGGCTCTAGGGTTGGTTGGAAGATATGCTATTAATTTTGATTCCATAACAAACCTGTAATTGTTTTTATACTAGGACTTCCATCGATTCTGTCTAGTGAAACACTTAAAAGCCCCACTGAAGGGTTGTAACAGACGAAGGGCTAAAAAAAGGATATATACTTCCTGTTTGTACTCACAATCTGATTTATTATCTTTCTTGTTAAAGCTCTGCCCTTTATCAGTGTCCTATTGACAAAATAATATACTTCATGGCTGTTTTTTCTTTGCTTCAACCAGGTGATGCCTGGACTTACTGCATCAGTAAAAATGAATGGATACAGTTTAATCATCCCTATACTGAAAAACCAAGGTATTTAGTTAATAGTATACTATTTAAAAAATAATTCTTGTACTGAATAATTGAGGTCCATAAAGATGTACAAGATTGTTAATGAGAGAGGAAATTGTGGCTGCATTAAATCCCTTTCTTACTATAAAAACCCTAGCACTCAATAAGGTTTCACATTGTACCTCCTGAAAGAAAACCAATGTTATCCTAGTATCGAATGCTTTCTTTTCTGTCACTGTGGCATAAAAAAACAGCTGGACTTTGAATTTCAAAACCTAGAAGAATGTATATAGGGAAAACAATCAAGAACTTTCTATCAGATTTGCAGTAGCCCTATAGAACAAATGCTAAATCAAATCCCCCAAAAAGAACTGTCATGATATAGTCACAACTGGTATTCAATCACATTTAAGTAGGTCAGCCTGCATTTTTCCCCGAAGCCTCTAACTTAAGTACACTTATGCACAAAGGCTTCATTTGGCACAAATATTCTTTCCATAGAATTACCAGGCCTGATACTCTGCGTATCTCAGGCAGATCCAACATCCAGGTCGACTGGCCCTGCCATGAAAAGAAGAAGATCAAGAGGGCATATACCACATCTCCCATAAGGTTTTTATTGCTAACAAAGACCTAGAGAACAGATCATTCAGTTCAAACCCTTCATTGCATAAATTAGGACTGGACCAGAGAGAGAAATGATAACCAGATAAAACAGACACTGATTTTTTTCTAGTGTTTGCTACTTAAGATAATTCCTTCTCAACATGTTTCTGGTCTGTACTAAAGATCTCTAGTCTTTATTTCATCATTCTGTTCTGTAGTATAAATTGTCACTTTGGTGTTTGGGTAGCTTCAAACTCAGGCTTTTGTCTTAAATATAGATTATGGCATACAGCTTGTGCCAGTGACGAAGGAGAAGTAATTGTGTTTGGTGGGTGCGCCAATAACCTCCTTGTCCATCACAGAGCTGTAAGTATACTACCCTAGTTAAAGGACACTTCATAATATTTCTGAAACTTACTTGTGGAATACTTACTTTTGAATGTGTTTTTGTTTCTATTTTTCAGGCACACAGTAATGAAATACTTATATTTTCAGTTCAACCAAAATCTCTTGTAAGGTAACTTTTTACTAAGTACTTCATTTTAAATTAATGCTCTTGAAAAACCAGGTTTATAGATAACTTAAGGGCAATAACAAGCCTTCAATGATAGAACTAACCAGTTCGTATGAAAATCTTTAAAGTCTTTTCTTGCGGGGGGGGGTTATAAGTCTTCAAATTAATGTACTTCCAAATAGTAAAGCAAAACTATTTTTCTCTTATCCATTTTCAGGCTAAGCTTAGAAGCAGTCATTTGCTTTAAAGAAATGTTAGCCAACTCGTGGAACTGCCTTCCAAAACACTTACTTCACAGTGTTAATCAGAGGTTTGGTAGTAACAACACTTCTGGATCTTAAGGCTTCATAGATAATGCCTCTGATCACCTTGCATGGACAGCAATTCTGTAAACATCAGAGAGTGGCGTCGTTTGTACAATTATATGCATTGTTGTAGTTTGCAGCTTTTTGGTTTTAATGTGCATGTGAATGGCCTAGAGAACCTATTTTTGTGTCTAAAGTTTACAATAAATGTATTTAACACCAGTAACTGTCTTCATTAATACTTGGGCTTTTTACCCCAAGGAATGGTTATTACATTTCCTTTTTATTAACTTTAGGATATATAGCTGTAGAAACATTATGCTAATTATTATCACTATCAAAATGGTGATGTTATTTTTTTAAATTAATATTTTAGGGTTTTTTTTTAATGGCAAGAGTAGTGTTTTATTTACAACACTAGGCCATATAATTACAAAAGTTTTTTTTTTTACATTAATTTCACATGGAAAAATATTCTCAATAGGACTAAGCTGGTTAAACAAATTTTGGAAGGACCAACAGCTATTCAGTACTTTGACCTTATTAATGCTCTGGTATGGGGCGGGGCAAGTGATCTCATTGACTGTAGGTAGCTATCGTCTAATCATTTAATAAGTAACAGTGTTTTAGCTCATAAAAAAATTCCTCGTTCTGTTAGGAGATAGAAGAGGATGAACTGGGTCAGGAGTCTTTAGTGATAAGCCTAAAAGTGCACTTATGATATCAGAGGTTAAGATACTCTGTAACATGCTGATGATAATTACTAGAGGTAGAAAATAAAATGGTAGAAACAAGAAATCAGGAAGAAAAGTGAAGTTGTGTAAATGCATGGAAATGATCAATACCAATTTTTTCTAGGTGTTATTTCTTAGGCTGAATGATGTGTATTTTAAATCTGGTCTAATAGATTTTTTGACAAGTAAAGGCAGAAGGTTTTCAAGACTTAATCCTAAATGTTGAACACCCCCGACCCCCACCATGCCACCAGAAAAAAACAAAAAAAAACCCCTTGTGATTGACCTGTAATAGATATATTAGATGTTATATACAGTAGACTACCAAGTCAATAGTCTAAGCAACTGAGCCACTTCACTGTTCAACTTCTTTACAACATGAAATGAAAACTTAGTATTAACCTCCCAAATTTCAAGAAAACATAGAATAACTACAGATGTATACAATTATTAGCATTTAACTGTCCACAAATATTTTAGGAAGTCCTATCATAGTGTTTCCTCTCTAAAAAACTGGAAAAAAAACAAGTCCTTTTGGCGAATATAGCAAGGCAATGTTCAGTTCATTTTTAAATGCGGAAGTCTGGTTACATGGTGTTTTCATCTATGAACTTCCAAAAGGCTATAAAATTGGCTCTTCTCAAATATTTTAGGATTTCATTTCAGCTATTTCCTTTTTACATTCAGAAGATTGGGTGCAGACACTTTGACTTTGCCAGGAATGTTTCTTGATAAATCCGTGTCCTAAAAAAAGAGAATTGCTGAATATCTTCACATTCTATATGGTGGTCATGTTTCTTTTATGACAATTATGTGTCCTCTGCTGTCAAAGGCATTTCCAAAATTTTCAACTGGAATGATTTTACTTATTTTACACTGCTTCTAGTAAGACATTTTCTACCAAAACAATAGCTGCAGCTTGCATCTACTGAATAAAGAACTGAAAGTAAAAAATTGTAACTGCTAACATTTTTAACTACACCACTATCTCCAGACTTCAGGAGGAATACTTTACCTTTACACTGCGAAACAAGTCTTTTTCTCTTGCTGTTGCTTCTTTGGAATGCATGAAACTATTCAAGGCTGTTTTTGCCGCTGTAAATAGAAAATAGAAGAATCTACTTCTGTTCAATGAAGAAATGTTCAAAATCATAATTCAAGAAAATTTTTTAAATACCTTTTCCCTTTTTCTGAACTCCAGGAGTAAGTTTCACTTTGTATCTTTAAAAAGGAATTGCGTGTGTTACTGAACAGAGATTACAAAACCATTCATAAGTCACTATTGTGTCAGCCGTTTTAACTATAGATGACTTACTTATAGTTTGTCATGGTGGTGTAAGGGGCACATATTGGAATGGCAAACAGTAATACATCTTCAGGATGTGGCTGCCCAGTCAAAGAGTCAAAGAGATTTTCCTAAAAAGGGAAAACAAAAACAATTATAAAATTCTTACCAGTCCTAAAAAAAGTCTAATATCTCAATATATTTTTATTTTTTTCCGACAGACCTATAGTCCTAAGCTCTGCTTTCTATTTCTAGTTCCAAAGAGTTTAAGACCAATGGTGTTTATATTCTTTACTACTAAAATTTTTGTATAGCATAATGAGAAATGAGAACAATGATTTTCAAAAATAATACTTGTAAATACATTTAAGGGAGAAAAAACTTGTTGGATGTTATTGGCAGAAAACTACTATGGATTAAAATGATGCATAATAATGACCACAGATTTAAATCCATTGCCTGGAAACAGGACTGATACTTTGGCTGGACCAGCAGTTTTTGACTAGGGGGTTTTCTAGTGGCCCCACCGTGGCCCACCCCAGACATTTTGCCTGTTCTTAAGGAAAATCTGACGGGCTTCTCAGAGTTGCCCATTGGTGGGCTGCCTACAATATAAGCCATATATTTATTTAGCAACATGAATAAAACTTGGACAAGATGCTTGGTGCTGAAGTGTTTATTTACTATGTGCCATCGGACTTTTCTAAAATGCTTTATGTATATTCTCCAAACAACACTCTCCTGGTAGGGACCAATCATCCCCACTCTCCAGATGAGGAAACAGAAGCACAAAAGATAATGCTTCGAAGTTGCAGTTACACGTAGCAAAGTTGGGATTCAAACCAGAATGTTGGACTCTAGAGCCTATAATCTTGTCTTAGCCTTAGGAAGTTTTAATTATTAGAAACTGTATATCAAATATTCTGGGAACCAGACTGTAGTCAGAGTGTTACACTAGGGACCCCAACACAAAATCATACCTCATTACCCTGTTGTTGATCCAGATCTTGCTCTTCCTGCTCCAAACAAAATTTTAAAAGTCAGCTATAACTTAAATTGAAATTTCCCATGATTAAAAACTATGAGGAGAAAAAAAACAATAATATAACAAGATTGTCACATCTAAACAACAGATTATGGACCCCAAGACTGTGTTCTTCAGTGTCCCAAAACTCAATTAATTTTGCATCTCCCATTTTAGAGAGCAATGCCATTGAAAGAGAAAAAGCACTGTTTTCCAAAGTTAAAAAAAAAAAACTCACATGGAGTGCATGCTAAAACAGTGAAATTAAATGTAAAATGACAATCTTCAATGTAAAATGGTAATTTAAAATGACAACTAAATTTGGTATGTTTGCCAAAGGAAAATGGAGAATCCTGGTGAACAGAACTTTTATTATTTAGTCTCCGTTCAATAGTTCTAGGATAAATTTTTCACATATTAAGGTAAACTTACTTTTGTTTGCTCTTCTTAGATTATTTCCAAATAGATTTTTTATGTATAATTCATAACACCTCAATATTTATGAGTCTCTGGTTTATAGAATTACAGATATGAGAACAGTATAAAAATTTGAGGATCAAAATGGGTTGTCATATTATAAAACAGTAACAATGTTCAGGGAAAGAAGAAAACAGTAACACATTGAGAATCCCTGTAAGCATTACCTACACTGAACAGAGCTCACGATTCTAACCAAAGCTTTAACAGCTATAAATACAAATACCAGTGAAGCCAAATTTTTTCCAGTTTTATAAAGTAATAAATTCTTTGCTCAGGATTTCAAGAAGATATACTTAAAGCTGGGCTTGTATTCAGCTGATAGAATAATTAGGCAACCGTCTTAACTGGATAAATGTTCACTTCTTGCTGGTTTTTCAACCAGGGCACTTGGCACTTGAGCTGCACAGGCACTGTAAACATGTAAGATAATACAGCATATATTCCTATAGAAAATTCTAGAGAAGTGCAAATTTACTTTCTACTCATCTTCAAGACAATCCGAATTATTTGTCTTATTGTAACTAAGTTCCCACATTAGAATCAGATAAAGCCTCTCCATAAAATTATTTTCTAAAGGCTTGTAAAACTTTTTATCACGGACACGACCATTTTTACACTTATATCCTGGAAATTTAGTCTTTTAGGTTGTATTTCTAAGATGACCTTCCATTAAGAATAAGATTACCACTTGTCCTGGTTTTAGCACTTATGTAAGCCTTGGGTCCTGGGAACCCTGAGGAGGTTAGTGACCTTAAATGAAGCGAAAGCCCACATACATATGTGTGGTAGCCCTACCTTGTCATCATGTGGATCATCTACAGCCAAGTCTTGTAACTCATGAGTTACAACCTCAAGGGAGGGAGTTTCTTTCTTTATGCTATCTGAAGCCCTTGGTCCACCTCTAGGTTTCTGGGGCTGTTTCTTCACAGGTTCATCCTTTGTTTTTCCTTTCTTCCCCTTCTTCCCTTTTTCTTCTTTGTTTGAACCTGCAGACTTTAATTCATAGAGGTAAAATAATGTCAGCTCTCTCTGACAAAAAAATCTTAAAAAGGGGCTGCACCTGGGTGGCTCAGTTGGTTAAGCGTTCGGCTCAGGTCATGATCCCAGGGTCCTGGGATAAAGCCCCGCATCGGGCTCCCTACTCAGCGGGAAGCTTGCCTCTCCCTCTGCCTGCCATTCCCCCTGCTTGCATGTGCGCACTAACAAATAAAAAATCTTAAAAAAAAAGTGTCGGTATGTTCAATATTGTCAATATTTTAACAAAATGTATTGAATCCTAGCATAGGATAGGTAGTGGTCTGGATGCCCCTTAAAAAGCAAAAGAAGAGGGCGCCTGGGTGGCTCAGTTGGTTAAGCATCTGCCTTCGGCTCAGGTCATGACCCCAGGGTCCTGGGATCAAGCCCCACATCGGGCTCCCTGCTCAGCGGGAAGTCTGCTTGTGCCTCTCCCTCTCCCTCTGCTTGCCGCTCCCCTGGCTTGCACACACACGCTCACATGCTCTCTCTCTCACTGTCAAATAAATAAAATCTAAAAACAAAAAAAAAGAAAATGGTTTTGGATGTTACTTACCCCCAGCAATTTCATGATGAGTTCACGTTCTTCTTCATCTTGGTCTTTGTACTTTTCCTTCATTTTTTTCATTTTACTCTACAAAATCAAAAGACTTTAGTTGGAAAAATTCAGCAGTTAAAAAATGTCAACAAATGTTTGTAAAGAAAAGGTGCTTTTATTCTGTCAAAAATTCTCAGAAGGTACCATTATAATAAACAATATGGAGGCTAAAATGATGGATAAACCATAGTCTTTAGCCTTAAAGAATTTACCACCTAGTAGGAAAAGAAGACACATGTAAAAGTAAAGAGAAATTAATACAACATATTCTAAATGCAAACTTTATTTCTAAGGTAATTCAGAGATAGATTTCTTTCAGCTTAAGCAAGAACTGTGGGGAAGAAATAAAGTACAACTTGAAGGTCTTAAAAGAAGGGAATTTTATAGGAAAAGCAGGAGTATAAGAAAAAGACAGGACAGTATAGTATAGTAATAGCAAGTCCTTACATTTGGTTGGAGGCAGGATCTACATATAGAGAAAGAACGGGAAACAAGGCAGCAGAAGCTAAGCTGGATAAAGGCTTTCTTAACACTGAATTTTTTTTTTTTTAAAGATTTTATTTATTTGGGGGCGCCTGGGTGGCTCAGTTGGTTAAGCGACTGCCTTCAGCTCAGGTCATGATCCTGGAGTCCCGGGATCAAGTCCCGCATCGGGCTCCCTGCTCAGCAAGGGGTCTGCTTCTCCCTCTGACCTTCCTCTCTCTCATGCTCTCTACCATTCTCTCTCTCTCTCTCAATAAATAAATAAAATCTTTAAAAAAAAAAAAGATTTTATTTATTTGACAGACACAGTGACAGAGGGAACACAAGCAGGGGGAGTGGGAGACGGAGAAGCAGGCTTCCTGCTGAGCAGGGAGCCCAATGTGGGGCTCGATCGCAGGACCCTGGGATCATGACCTGAGCCGAAGGCAGACGCTTAACGACTGAGCCACCCAGGCGCCCCAAGACTGAATTTTCTTAACTGGTGATTGTTTTATGTGGGCTACATATCCAAATTACCTAGTAATTTTTTAAAACTATAGACCTCTAGGCCTCACCTAGATTTTTGTCCTTATCTTAGCTGGGGCCCAAATAAATTTATAAATTTTTGAAGATTTCTTTAAACGGCACAAAGAACTACCTATAAAAGGTTGATAATTCACACTTCTAAAAGTCTGTACTTCTAATTCCTCTTCTACATAAGATAAGAGCTTCTATCTAGATGATGTTAAAGGGACACAGAACAGTGATCTCTATGTCCCCTAAATCTTATCTCTTTTAACTATTTTCATTAAAAGGAAGTCACATAGGATTATTTTTTTGCCTACATCTTTTGTTTCACTTAAACTTTAAAAAGGTAAGCAGCAGCTCACAACTCCTTTATGGCCCACAGAGGACGCACTCTAGCAGCTCGGCCCGAGGCTGTATTACCTTCTGGCCTCGTTTCATTGGCTGCACGGCCGGGGCACGTTTGCTTGCATCCGCATGAGTTTCAATGTGTAGAGTATTTTCTTTTTCTTTGTCCTTTACCTCGATCACTTCTAAATCCCCTGAGTCACTTGGAAGCTTTTTCTTCTTCATTTCCCTAAATAGAAATGAAATGGGAACATCTAATTCTTAGTGCCCTAAAATACTACAGGGGACAGGGAACATGTACAATATATAAACGATCAAGGCTCTGCTTAACTTCAAAACCACCAGGCTACAGTATAAAAGCAGCGCCCATCAGCATATAGGAAAAAACTGAAAACTTTTCTCTCATGGATTTATCATTCTTTCTGTCATCCAGGCTTCACATACTGTCACCCTTGACTTAATCCTTACTCAGTAGCCTCAACATCTTGATGGCTAGGCACTGGGATTTGTAGTCTGTGTATCAGCATGGCCTTGGCAGATCCTCAGGTATTCAATAAAATATGGTGATAGGTTAGCTAAATAAATAAATGGATAAAGATATACAGAGAAGGGGAAAGGGGAAATCTTATTACTGTGGTATTTTTGATGTGCAATCTCTTCTATTCCCACTGCAGGTCCTCGTCACTTCCTACCCAGACCTTTCTCCAGCATTTCCCCCATAAACTGTTCTACATGAACTTCTAGATTAATCTTCCTTGTTTACCTATCTCACATTCCCATTTAAAATCTTCCAAAAGTGCTCCTCACATCACTTTCAGGATTAAGTCTGAAAATACTTAGCTTATTATTCTAATCAGTTCTCCACTTTTGATCCAAGTTCACTTTGCCAATCTTACCATCTACCAGTTCACAAATGTGAACTTTTGCCCCTTTCACCTCAGTCTACTTATCATTTCCCCAAAGCACTATGCATATTACTTCCAAATCCCTGCCCTGCTTTGTTCATGCTAATTCTCCTTGGAATCTTTGACCTTCTTATCTTCATTTACCTAGTCCTGATAGATTTTCAAGGTATACTTCTAATGGCATTCTCAACACACCTGGCCTCACAGCAATTTCTTACTCCTGGACTACTATATCCCTCCGTATGGCTCTTTCCTGAATCCAGGACTCAAAAACTCCTTAAAGACACAAACTTTCTTATTTTTTACCTCTTTGTATACTCAGTATCTAGCAAAATGCTGTGTCCTCAGAGAGTATGCTGAAACTGTTTAATGACCATCTTTCTCAAACAAAAGGGTTTGTTATCCATTCCACTCTAGAGTCTCTTCCTGGACTGCTTTACTAGCTTTATAAAGCCTTTTTTTACCCTATAGTGATTAACTCAATTGTCCCTTTCCTTCTGCCTTTCTGTTTGCCTCCTGAGACCTTCTATGTTAAAGAAAAAAATCTTCTCTATTAAATGAAACTTTCCTAATCATTTTCAAGTATTCCTGTTTATTCCTGCCAATATTATCCTAGAACCAGCCTATTTAATGCACAGATTTATGTAACAAAGGTCTGTCTCATGTTACTTGATCTATCTCACTGACTGTGGTGACAGATTAGGGGCCTAAAACAAAAAAAACCTGTATAGAGCTCAATATTAAGAACTAAACAAGGCTTATGCCAAATCTTGTTAATTTTAATAAGGGAGGTCTTTAGAACCTCCAAGTCATCTGTTGTAACTGAATCATCGGTAACCAAAAAAAATTTACATGCTTTCCAGTTAGATAACACAAATATGTTTACCTTCTTTCCTTGGCTGACAAATGTCTCCGGCTCTGTAATTTACTGTCACTCTATTAAAATTAAAACAAAAAAAAAACACAAGCAAATACAAACAATAACATCACTACTATTAATTTTCCAGAAAGTAAAATTAAAAGTAGAAAATGATTCAATGAGAAAGACATGGTGTTCTTCACAAAACTTTGAAAATAGCTTACCATATTAGAAGATTCCTCTTTTGAAGCCAATTTCTGGAGGGACCTATGAAAATAAACAGAAAGAGGCATCCACTAGCCTGTAAGAGGCATTCATTTACAAAGTCCGCAAACATTCCCATATCATAGCCTTAATTACTGGCAATCTACAAATTTTCACGTTGATAAAATTTTTAAAAATCATATTGCTCATCTCACACTTTTAAATATATTCTTAAATAGCAGACATGTATTGAACACTTACTATGTGCCAGGCACTGCCAGATGCTTTACATACATACAATCTTCACCAAAACCCTATGGGGGTTGGTAATACTCCATTTTCACAGAGAAATAAACTGAAGCTCAGACATAGAGTAACTTGCCCAGGGACATACCCTAAGACTCAATTCTGGCTTGACTCCTAAGCTGTTCTTAACTATTCTAGTGATAAAGCTTTTAAAACCATGATATCGTTTACTTGGTGATCTACCGGTAAGGCTTTAAATAAAGATTAAAATGCTTAAATTTTTTTAATGGAATTGCCTCTCTTACATTATTAGCATTTATACTCATACACTTGTTTCTATTCTGACCTACTTTGGCCACTTTTATGTTTACTATATTCTTCTACCCTTGATCCTGGAAATTTCTTTAGAGAAATCTACCCCACCCCCCAAATGGTGAACAGGTAATAAGACTGTAGACAATGGAGGGTAAACATACTACAGTCAACCTTGGTATTATTTTAGAAGGATTAACTCTTCCATCATTGCCAGCTATAAAACAATCGTTTTTAATTACCTCTGGGATTGAAGGTGGGACAAGTCAATGGTAGTATCAGGATAATTTAATGTCTCTTCCCCTTCATCCTTCATTTCACCAACAGGTTCCTGATCTTTTACTACATCTTCAGATTCTCCTTCATCTTCAGAGCTTTCTTCCTGAAGTAGTTCATCAGTTAGCTCATCCCCACCACTCTGAATAGTGACATCCTCTTGGTCAACCTGAGTCATGAGTTCCATTTCCACAGGAGTTTCGTGTGATTCCTCTTTATCTTCTTCACTGCTACTCTCACCTCCATCTGTAGATATCATAAGCTAAGTCAGAGTGATACCACCATAACAAAGCCAGATGATTACCTCGAAAACTTCAAAAAAGCATTCTGTTGATTCCATTTCTCCAAAAGATCACCAAAAAAAAAAAAAAAGCCCGAACATCCCCAAAGGGTACTCAGACAAAAGGATACTCTTGTATCATGAACTGGCTGGAATAAATGCTCTCCAAGATACTATATAAATTTCTTGGAATTGCAACCATTTCTACAATGAAAACTCTAACTTGTCTTGGTTAGCTATTTCCAGAAAGGAGGACAAGAGAAGTAATTCCATAAATTCTGCAGCTGTTATTGTAACTTGCACATGAGAAGTGAAATGAGACAATATAACTGGCACACAGAAGGTATTCACACTTTCTCAAAAGAAACACTGTTTAGTAGTAATAATATTAGTTGCCTCACCTATAATAGGAGATGCCATCACCACCTGACAAAGATGGTTGTGAGAATTCCATTAAAAATAATGTAAATACAGAATTTTGTATAGTATCAGGAACATCGTGAAAATTTAAAAAAATCTTGTAATGCCAACAGTAGTCATAAATGAAACAATGCAGTATTAGTCCTAAAAAGGAATGACCCTAGGAGAATAACTGTAAAAATAATATGGAGGGCATACTTTTAGTTCTTTTAGGTAGGTGGGTAAATTTATTTCAGCAACCACAGTTGCTTTCCACTTGAAGCAAGTGTATTATTAAATCAAGCCAAATTCTCATGTGAGAAATTACACTTGTTATGCACTCATCTTTGTATCACTTCTAATTCTTAAATCCAAAAGTAAATGCTCATTTGTAAATACCTGAGTCTATCTCTGCTAAACACATTTGTGTCTGACCCATTAAATATTAAAGTTTCACTATATATGTTTATATAGTATATTAGTTACAGATCCAATTAAACACTTTATAATTCACTAAAACAAGTATATTTAATACTGCCAAAAACAAAATTCAGTAAAACTGAATAACAAGTGTTTTGAAATTTCAATTATCCTAAAGTAGATATGATCTTCTAAGAATCTAGAAGATAAACTAGACAATAGGGAACACTATAAGCTATTTTATTAAAATCTGTAAACTACCTAGTTGATCCATTTCTTCCGATATGAGTTCACTTGCGCAACTCGCCAGTGTTTCCATGTCTTCATCCTGCACTCTGACTTTTCGTTCACCCCGATGTCTCCAAACACAAGACTCATCTACCTATGGAAACAGTTCTTTTTCACTGACAGAACTTTAGTTAAGATTCATGAAACTCAGAAAAAAAATAACAAAGAAGCTGAAGAATACCTTAAAGAGGAAACTAAACCCCATCATTAGATATGAGGGAGGAAGGAAATTCTTTTTTCCTATAAAAGACAATAAGCATAAATGTTAAAAAAATCCCTTTTTTCCATTTCATGCTTGCAAATTATCTGACACTGGTGGTGACACTTATTTTCTCTTTTTTCTGTCATGAAGGAACATTTCCCATTCACAGCATGTGGCATTATGTATAGGAACAGGAATTAAGAAAGAAAAAATACAAATACTTGCTCTCATCTTTGAGTTAGTCAAGCCCTGAATAATCTATTTTTAGAAAAAAGGTCATGCTATACATTCTTACCCTTATAACTTTATGTGAAAGCACATTCTCATCAAGAAAAATACATATGGAGATGACAGGACAAATGCTAAATTTGCCACAGCAGCACAAAATATCCCTTATTTCATAACAGATTTCATACATGAAATCAGAATAGTTTCTGTTCTGAAAATATTATTAACAATGGTCCTCAAACCTATCTCCATAACCTACCGACAAGTCATTACCTCTTATCATGAAGCTTCCTGTTGTCAAATATTCTCCAGTTGGTGCTGTTTTAGACACCTGAGGAGTACAACACCACATTATACTGTTGTCTTAAGAAATACGTTTTTAAAATTTTCACTGAATAAAGTCAAGTCATATTCAAGTAAATAGCACTGTCTCCTAAAAAGTTTATAATTTAGTAAAAATTCTCAACGCCAAAATATCTCTTCAAAGACAGATATACCTTTGGCAGTAAAAAAGAAAAGACTTAAGGATACACTACACCAATAACTTTCAAATGCCATGGATTAGAGCCAGAACTTGTCCACATGTTTCCTCTGGTTTGAGATATAATGAGAAAAATAAGGACAGTTTAATATGCTTGTAGCATAAAGCTATATTTACTAATACTATATTTATTAAATAAAATCCTTTCCTGAAGTACTGTTTTTGGGGTAGTAAAATAACCTTTCATTTTAGGAAAAAGATGATAGATTTTTAAAAATGTATTCTAATTTGGCAAAGTAAGAAGATAATTGCATAATATTTTAAAATTTTATATTATCGGGGCACCTGGATGGATCAGATGGTTAAGCATCTGCCTTCAGCTCAGATCATGATCCCAGGGTCCTGGGATCGAGCCCTGCATCGGACTCCTTGCTCAGTGGGGAGCCGCCTTCTCCCTCTCCCTCTGCCTGCTGCTCCCCCTGCTTGTGCTCTCTCTCTTTCCTTCTGTCAAATAAATAAATAAAATCTTTAAAAATAAATAAAATTTTATATTATCTGTGAAACCCCCAAATCTGAGAGTATCTTTGTCATAGATACTGGAGGGACTAAAGCACACTAATTTCACCCTTAAAAACCAATTCAATAAAAGAATTAAAACTACTTTTATAACAGTACTGAGACAGAAAATATAATCTGAGTGATGTTAATTTCCTGAAAACACAGTATCACAGCACAGCAGAAAATAATGAATATAAATAGATGTAAAATTAAACTAAGGGAGGATAATAGTATTGAATTCTTTTTTTTTTTTTTAAGATTTTATTTATTTATTTGAGAGAGAGAATGAGAGAGAGAATATGAGACGGGGGAGGGTCAGAGGGAGAAGCAGACTCCCTGTTGAGCAGGGAGCCCGATGTGGGACTTGATCCTGGGACTCCAGGATCATGACCTGAGCCGAAGGCAGTCGCTTAACCAACTGAGCCACCCAGGCGCCCCAACAGTACTGAATTCTTTACCTTGCTGCATAGCTTTAGGACCTTGTAAAAGTACATCGTTATCAATTGTAATTACTGAAAATATGAAATAGCAATGGGAAGTCAAATATAGAGTGAAGTAGCATCAAGTAAAATAGCATTTAAGAAGGACAATTACTAAAACCAAGTGAATAAAAAACCACCAGATACAGCTATTTTTCAGGAAGGGCCAAAGAGAGATCAGAAAATTCCAACAAAGATGAAGAGGAGAAAGATTTTTTAGGCCAGTATGCCAGTCATAACTGGAACATCTGTCATCTTGTATAACTGCATGAATCATTTGCTCTCTTCATTTAGGGTATGCTCACATCTTACTTTCCTAGAAAGGCCTTCTCTGACACTTCATTCAAAATGGCAGCCCTTATCACTCTCTACTGCCTACTCCACTTACAAGAAAAATTTTTTACAGCACTTGTTACCAGACGTTATGTATGTATTTTTCTCCACCACCAAAACGTCATCTCAAAGTAGGCACTTTGCCTTGTTCACGTCTATACCCTCAAAATTTGGTACACAATAGCTCTTTTATTTCTTATTTTTTGGGAGCCCAACATGGGGCCTGAACCCATGACCCTGGGATCAAGACCTGAGCTGAGATCAAGAGTCGGACACTTAACCTACTAAGCCACCCAGGTGTCCCGGTACACAATAGCTCTTAATAAATTAAGAAAAAGGACCACAGCCCTTATTACCTGATGATGGTACACCCACCAAGCACTAGTGATAACTCGTGCATCCCAAGCAGCACTGTAGCAAAGTGCCATTGTGCCTGCTTCAGTCAAGGTCCGAGGGGGAATGGGTTCTCCTGTAATAACAACACTGCAATGCTTCAGTACCCAAGTACAGACTTTCTACACAGCAATATAAGAAAATTACATGCAGCATGACAGATCTGATCTCCTTACATCTTAAATAATGATACCACATTTTTCTTTCAATATTACATAAAGTTACTATTTTTTTTTATTAACAATGTATTTTACAACATCACTCACCATCAGGGAAATACAAATCAAAACCATAATGAATTATCACCTCACACCTGTCAGAATGGCTAAAATAAAAAACACAAGAAACAACAAGTGCTGGCAAGGATGTGGAGAAAAAGGAACCCTTGTGCATTGTTGGTGGGAAAGCAAACTGGTGCAGCCACTGTGGAAAACAGTATGGAGGTCCCTCAAAAAACTAAAAATAGGACTACCCTATGATCCAGTAATCACACCACTGGGTATTTACCCAAAGGATATGAAAACACTAATTCAGAAGGATACATGCACCCCATGTTTCTTGCAGCATTATTTACAATAGTCAAATTATAGAAGCAGCCAAGTGTCCATCAATAGATGAATGGATAAAGAAGATGTCATGTATATATACACAACGGAATATTATTCAGCCATAAAAAAGAATGAAATCTTGCCATTTGCAACAACATGGATGGATCTAGAAAGTATAATGCTAAGCAAAATAAACCAGTCAAGAGAAAGACAAATACCATATGATTTCACTCATATGTGGAATTTAAAAAAAAAACAAAGGGGAAAAAAAACCCAGACAAACCAAAAAACAGACTCTTAACTATAGAGAACACACATGATTACCAGAGGGGAGCTGGGTAAGGGGATGGGTGAAACAGGTGAAGAGGATTAAGAATACACTTATCTTGGAGTGGTGGGGGATGGGAGGGATGGGGTGGCTGGGTGATAGACACTGGGGAGGGTATGTGCTATGGTGAGCGCTGTGAATTGTGCAAGACTGTTGAATCACAGATCTGTACCTCTGAAACAAATAATGCAACATATGTTAAAAAAAAAAAGAGAGTAGGAAGGGCAAAATGAAGGGGGGCGGAAATCGGAGGGGGAGATGAACCATGAGAGACGATGGACTCTGAAAAACAAACTGAGGGTTCTAGAGAGGAGGAGCGTGGGGGGATGGGTTAGCCTGGTGATGGGTATTAAAGAGGGCACCTATTGAATGGAGCACTGGGTGTTATATGCAAACAATGAACCATGGAACACTACATCAAAAACTAATGATGTAATGTATGGTGATTAACATAATAAAATTTAAAAAAAAGAATACACTTATCTTAATGAGCACTGAGTAATACACAGAACTATTGAATCACTAACTGTACACCTGAAACTTACATAACACTGTATGTTAACTATACTGGCATTAAAATAAGATAAAAAATAAATAATAAAAATATATTTACAAAGCAGGCTTTTAATGGCCTAAGTAAATCAGAGAAGAAATGCCCCGTCACTTATATTAATAACTCTAACTTCATTCCAGATAGAATAATTTAGAAAAGCCTATTCAAAGTCTGAAGACTCCCAGAATTACTACAGATCACCAAAATCATCAAAGCAAAAAGCATATTAGTAATATAACCCTACAGTTAGATTTCAAATATCTTTTAATTGTGATGTAATTTATATACTATAAAATTCACCCTTTTAAAGTACATAATCCAGTGGTTTTTAGTATACTCATAAACCTATTAACCATTACCACTAATTCCAGAACATTTTCATCATCCCCCAAGGAAATCTTATATCCATTAATAGTCATTCTCCACTTTCCCAGCCCATGACAATAACAAATATACTCTGTCTCTATGGATTTGCCTATTTTGGAATTTCATATCAATGGAATCATATGTGTCTGGCTTCTTTCACTTAGCATCACATGTTAAAGGTTCATCCCTGTTAGAGCAATTACCAATACCTCATCTCTTTAAGAATGAATACTATTCCATTATATCAACATACCACATTTTGTTTATTCCTCAACTAATGAACATGTAGGTTGTTTCCATTTCTTGGCTGTTATAAATAATGCTGTTAAGTATATGTGCAAATATATTTAGTGTGGTCATATCTATAGAACTAGGAGTGTTATTGCTAGGTCACATGGTAAATTCTATGTTCAACTTTTTGAGGAACCGCCAAACTCTATTCTATAGCAGCTGAATCATTTTCAATTCCCATCAGCAGCATATAAAGGTTCCAATATCGATATCCCCACCAACACTTGTTTTGTCTATTTTTTAACTATTGTACTGGGTGTGAAGTGGTATCTCCTTGTGGTTATTTGCATTTTCCTAATGATGAATGATGCTGAGGACCTTATGTGCTTGTTAGCCACTCTTAAATCTTTGGAGATATATTTGGACCCTTTGTCATTTTAAAATTGTTTTTGTTTTTTTCCTTTTTATTGTTGAGACTTAAGAGTTCTTTGGATACTGGTTCTTTATTAGATAAATGATTTGCCAATATTTTCTCTCATTCTGTGAGTTGTCTTTTCACTTTTTTGAGAACGTCCTTGAATTAAGGCTTTTAAGTCCAATTTACCTGTTTTTCTTTGTTGCTTATGCTTTTGATGTCTGAGAAATGACTTCCTGATTCATTATGCCTTATTTTCTTCTAACGGTTTTATAGTTTTAGCTTTTAAGTTTAGGTTTGTGATGCACTTAATTTTTATAAATGGTGTGAAGCAGGGGTCTTACTTTTATTCTTCTGTACATGGATATTAGTATTCCAAACACCACTTGTTGACAACATTATTCTATCCCCATTGAATGGCTTTCATATACTTGTTCAAAGTCAATGGACTGGAAATGAGGAATCTCAATTCTCTTCAGTAATCTATTTGTCCATCCTCATACCAACACCTGTCTTTATTACTGTTACTTTGTAGGAGGTTTTGAAATCAGGAAGTGTGAGTCCTCCTATTTTGTCCTTCATTTTTAGAAATGATTTGGCTGACCTAGGTCCTTTGCATTTCTGTGTGAGTTTTAGGATCAACTTACCCATCTCTGCAAAAAAAAAAAAAGGCAGCTTGAATTCTGAGAGGGATCACATCAATCTATAGAGTTACTGCCATCAGAACAACATCAAGACTTCCAATCCTTACACTACAAGTCTTTCCATTTATTTAAGTCTTCTTTAATTTCTTTCAATGATGTTTTATAGTTTGGGGTGTATGTCTTGCATTTGTTTTTGGTAAATTTATTAAGTATTTTATTCTTTTTAATGCTATTATAAATGAATGTTTTATTGATTTACTTTAGTACTGTTCACTGCGAGTATATAGAAATACAACTGACTTGGGAGAGCCTGTGTGGCTCAGTCAGTTAAACATCTGATTCTTGGTTCCAGCTCTGGTCACGATCTCATAGGTTGTGAGATCAAGACCTGAGTTGGGCTCCATGCTCAGTGGGGAGTTGGCCTGAAGATTTTCTCACGATGTCCCTCCCCCATTCATGTGTGCACACTCTCTCTCAAATAAATAAATTAAAAAAAAAAAAGAACTACAACTGATTTACATATAATGACCTTGTATCCCAAACATTCTAAACATGTTTACTAACTAATAATTTTTGGTGGATTCCTTGAGGTTTTAAATATATAAGATCATGCCATCTGCAAACGGAAATAGCTTTACTTATTCTTTACTAATGTGGGTATTTTTTATTTCTTTTTATTACCTAATGGCCTACTTAGAAGAACCTCCATACAAGGTTGAATAGAAATGACAAGAACAGACATTTTTATCTTGTTCCTGATCTTAAGCAAAGAGTTTTCAGTCTTTCATCATTAAGTCTGATGTTAGCTGTGGGTTTTTCATAAATGTTCTTTACTAAGTTGAGGAAGCTCCCTTCTGTTCTTAGTTTGTTGAGTATTTTTATCATAAATGGGTGTTGGATTACTGCCAAAGGCTTTTTCTGCATCGATTGAGATGATCATGTGGTTTTTGTCCTTTATTAATACACTTTACTATAGTGATTAATTTTCATATATTAAACCAACCTTGCATTCCTGGGAAAAAATCCCACTTTGTCATAGTGTATAATCCTTTTAATATGCTGCTGGATTCGGCTTTCTAATATTTTGTTGAGGGTTTTTGTGTCTATTCATAAGCAATATTGGTCTGTAGTTTTCAATTCTTGTGATGTCTTTGTCTGGTTTTGTTATTAGGGTAATACTGGCCTTACAGAATGAGTGAGGAAGTTTTCCCATATCTTCTATTTTTTGGATGAGTTTGTGAAGGATTTGTGTTCAATTTTCTTTAAAAGTTTGGTAGAATTCACCAGTGAAGCTACCTGGGCCCATAATTTTCTTTGTGAGCATGTTTTTTGTTTTGGGTATTTTTTTTTTTTTAAGATTTTATTCATTTATTTGACAGAGCACAAGCAGGCAGAACGGCAGGCAGAGGGAGAGGGAGAAGCAGGCTCCCTGGCTCCCTGCTGAGCGGGGAGCCTAACATGGGGCTTGATCACAGGACTCCAGGATCATGACCTGAGCTCAATGCAGACACTTAACCGGCTGAGCCACCCAGGTGCCCCTAAGTATTTTTTTTTTAATTACTATTTCAATCTCTTTATTTGTTATACGTTTGTTTTGATTTTCTATTCCTCCTTGAGTCAGTTTTGGTAGTCTGTGTCTTTCTAGGAATGAGCCTGTCTCATCTAGGTCATTTAATTTGTTGCTATTCAATTGTATGTAACATGCCTTCACAATCCTTTTTCCCTTCAACAAATGTAGATCCCAAAGGTATTTAATAAATGCTCCAGATATAGACTATAGATCTAATTTTTATCCCAGTGAAAAGTTCCTTCTTCGGTTAAAGAAGCCACTTAGGAGAGAAAACAGAGTTCTGCTGTCTTACTGCACCTTCACCACAAGGAACACCACATGAGTATTTCTTAAAACGGTGTTTTCCAAGAGGAAGCTAGTGAACTTCTAAAAATCCTTTTGATTTCTGTAAAGTTGGTAGTAATGTCCCCCCTTGTGTTCCTAATGTTAGGAATTTGAATATTCTCTTATTTTTTTGGTCAGTCAAGCTAAAGTTTTACTAATTTTGTTGATATTTTTCAAAGAACCAACTTTGGTTTCACTGATTTTCTCTACTGTTCTTCTATTCTGTTTCATTTATTTCCACTCTAAATTTTATTAGTTCCTTTCCTTACTATGGGTTATTTGCTATTCTTCTAGATCTTATGTATACACTTTCATTTTTGAGAGCTTTCCTCCTTTTTAAATTATAAACATTACAGCTATAAACTTCTCACTAAGCACTGCTTTAGTTGCAACTCATATCATTTTGATATATTGTGTTTCATTTCATTCATCTCAAAGTATTTTCTAACACTCCCTGTCATTTTCTCTTTGACACTGGTTACTTATGATTGTGTTGTTTAATTTCCACACATTTGTGAATTTTTTTTTTAAAGATTTTATTTATTTATTAGAGAGAGAGAGAGAATGAGAAGTAGAGAGCAGGAGAGGGAAGAGGGTCAGAGGGAGAAGCAGACTTCCCGCTGAGCAGGGAGCCCAATGTGGGACTCGATCCCGGGACTCCAGGATCATGATCTGAGCCGAAGGCAGTCGCTTAACCGACTGAGCCACCCAGGTGCCCCCATTTGTGAATTTTTGAAATTTTCATCTATTACTGGTTTCTAACTTCACTCCATTATGGTCAGAAAGCTTACTTTGTATGATTTCAGTAGCTTTAAATCTACTAAGACTTGTCTTAGAGACTATTACATGGTCTAGCCTAAAGAATATACCAGACGCACTTGAGTAGTCTATTGTTGTTAGGTGAGAATACCAGAGATGTGTGTTAGGTTGAGTTAACTTACAGAATCTTCTATTCTGTATTCTATATTAACTTATAGAATCTTCTATTTCCTTGTTGATCTTATACCTAGTTATTCTGTCCACGACTGAGAGTAGGTATTAAAGTCTCGAACTATTACTGTTGATCTGCCTATTTCTCCTTTCAATTCTGTCAGATTTTGCTTCATGGCTAATTCTAGGGCTCTGTTGTTGGGTGCATATATGTTTACAATAGTTATATCTTAGTGATGGGAACACCTGAGTGGCTCAGTTGGTTGGGTGTCTGCCTTTGGCTCAGGTAATGACCCCAGGTCCTGGGATCGAGTCCCACATTGGCCTCCTTGCTCAGTGGGGAGCCTGCTTCTCCCTCTGCCTGCCACTCTCCCTGCTTGTGTTCTGTCTCTCTCTCTCTGACAAATAAATAAATTAAAAAAATCTTAAAATACATATATATAAAATAGTTACATCTTATTGATGAATTGACCCTTTTATCATTATAAAGTGTCCTTTATCTCTATTAACTATTTTTGTCTAACAGTTATACTAAAAATACTTTAAAGAAAGGAATTAAAGTTCTGAAAAATAAAGAAAAATATATTACCTGTTGGATTCTTAATTACACAGCTAGTAGCTCCATGAAGATCAGCATGTACATAAATGTCCCCTTAAAAACAGATGAGAAATAATACTTTAAGTCCTGTTTCTTTCTTTTTAAAGAAAAAAACGGGTTTAACGGGTTCAAAATCCAAAGGGTATTAAGAAGGCATATAAGGAAAAGTCCATTTCCCACCCCTGGGGAGGCTCTCACAAGCTTCCTTATAGGAAAGCAATGCTAATATGGTAGATTACAAAAATGGTCAGATCGTCTCTCCCCTGCAATCCACACCTCTTTGCTCAAGAGGTGGAGTCACATCCCTCGTATCTGGGCCTGCCCCATGACCTGCCCTGGCAGAATGTGGCAGCTGTGACCAAGTGCCAATTCTCAGCCTAGACCTTAATAGTCCTTGTGTGCTTCCTCTTTTTCTCTCAAACTTGCTGAGTTACCATGTAAGCCAATCTAGGCTAACCTGCTGGAAAGTGAGAGACACATGGAGCAAATGAGTCATCCTAGCAAATGTAAAGGTCCTGAGGACCATGGATGTTTGACATGTATGAAGAGCAGTCAGAAGGCCAGACTAAGGGAAGAGTGGTAAGAAATGAGGCTGGAGAAGAAGCCAGGAAGCTTGCAAGTCAACAATGAGGGCCTCGATTGTATTCTAAGTATGTGATACCAATGAATAACCAAATGAACAAACAAATGTGGAAGTGAGATCTTTCCTCTTTTTTTTAAGGGAAAAGGGAAGTGCATGGTTCCTAAAAGGTAAACTGAGTAGCCACTGCATGCCATGACAGTTTGTCTGGGATTTGAAACTCAAAGAAGAGAAAAACCCATACTGCTCCAAGAAAGGCTCAGCTCACAATGAACAGAGCTACAGAAGACAAGAGACCAAACCCTGAGCACCATTATAAAAACCTGTTCCCTGTTGCTTTCTTTCCTGTTTTGGGATCTTCAGTGGACAACAGATTAGCTTTAATTATTGATTTCAGATACCCACACTGAAGGTTCAACCACAGTGAGGTGGTGGTTATCAGCAAACAAAAATAAATGAGAAGCCTTACACCACAGGGCTTAAGTCCTGTTCCTAAATGTGAAAAAAAAGTCACAACCTTCAGCACTAAATTAAAAATTAAAATTTTGACATACAATGACTTTGGAGGACTGAAAGCTGTTTTGTCAATGTAGCAGAGAATCAAAATTCCAATACTACAGAGTAGCTCAGCACTACTACTTTAGGACTATTCACTTAAAATGAGAATTAAGTGTCAAAGCACATATTCAACAAACCATAAGCCACCAAGATGAAACTCTTCCTACCAACTAAACCTGTCAAGCAAAGGAGTGTAAGATGAAAATCTGTATCTCATACTGAGATAACTGATCCAATTACTTAGGAGAAAATTCTTTAAAATTTTAATCTTACTTACCTGTTGTCAAGTATCTTTTCACAATTATTTCATTCTGTTGCTGATCTCGTCCACCTATAATTAGATAGTTCTCTGAGCTAATGAACCACAGAAATTTCTCAAACCTATCAAATTGAAAGAAAAAAGTTAACATTCTTTTCCTTTATAGTCACCTGAATTCACATCCTTTTCGCAAACAAAAACCAAAAAACCCAATGAAGCTATCCTTCATCAAACTGAATTTTATTGAAATCTTGTAATACAAATTGCCTTAGGATAGTCTTTAGAAGAAAGTAATTAAATTCTATGTTTAAAAAAAGTATGTTCTCTCCTTATCTCACTCTCATACAGAGTCTTCTTAAACTCAAGGTAAACACAACAATGAATTACACAAAGCAAAAGCATAAAATGTCACATAGTCCCTTTGTGGGGCACTGGCTAGGTTTTGGGGCTACTGGTAAGAAAGAAAAGTTTTCCCATTCTGTCTTCAACTGAATGTTTACATATATGATATTCTTTATACTTTTTTTATAGAGCAAAAATTACCTTTAGAAGTATAAAATTATAACTTTTCTCAAGAGGCAAAATAATTTGGGTTTTTATGATTAATACATACCATCATGATAAAAAGTAAAGAGTGTATTTATATGACATTTAGAAATGACACAGAGATGAATAGAAATATTTCCTATATTACACCTGACTACCAAGATGATAATCTTTATGACTTAATCCACAATTTAAAACCTGCTGGTTACAAATGATAGATTAAGCACAGGCATTAAACTAAACTCCTTTATATCTCCCCAAATTATCCCTGTTTTCTAATCTGATTTTTTATTAATACATATACACATTTCAGAAATTTTAAAAACTATACAAAAGTATGGTTGAGAGATCCTGCATCCTCTTTCAGTCCTATTACCACTACCAAACAGGAATCCATTGTTATTAGCTTTCTGTTTCCCTCTCTGGAATTTCTTTATACATACAAAAGCTAGAATAAAATGCCTATTCTAAACCTTTTCTTTTAGACACAATACAAACTATTCTGAAAATGCTTTCTTTTTTTCACTTAAAAATGTCTTCTTGGGGCACCTGGCTGGTTGGTGGAGCATGTGACTCTTGATCTTGGCGCTGTGGGTTCGAGTCCCATGGTGGGTATAGAGATTACTTAAAAATACTATCTTTAAAAAAAAAAAAGTCTTCACTGCTGAGTGGATGTACTATACTTATTTAACAACTGCCCTATTGATGGTAAAGAGGTTTCTAAAATGACATAAACCTATAAAGACAGAAAATGGGAAATATAAGGATGTATTCTGTAATTATCTTAGTAAAGGAGCATATAACTAAAAGAAAAAAAATGAAAGGAGGCAGAAAGACAAGAATAAAGAACAAATGGGACAAATAGAAAGCAAACAGTAAAATGGTTAGATTTAAACCCGTATGTATCAGAAATTGCATTAAATGTAAATGTAGTCAATTCTTCACATAAAATGCAGACTGTCAGACTGGAAAATAATATATATATTCCTTTAAAATAAAAGAATATAAAAAGATTGAAAAAACATGATGGAATAAGATATATCATGCAAACACTAACCAAAATAAAGCTAATTTAGTTTTAATATCTCACACAGAAGGGAAAAAGAAGTTACAAGTTAAAAGAACATTTGATTAGAGTTAATAAAAGGCTCAATTCACTGCAAAGATAACAGCTCTATATTTTTATCACCTCATATATATAAAGCAAAAACTAGCAGAAGTAAAAGGAGAAACAAACAAATGCACAATTATGTGATTCTTAACACAACTCTCAGTGACTGAAAAAATCATTAAAAAAAGAATTAGCAAAGATGCCAACGATTTGAACGTAATTAATGGATGCGACCTAATTGATATTTAGAGAAATGCACTCAACAACTATAAAACGCTCATTTCAACTACATATGAAACATCTGTAAATAAAGTGGACCACAAATATGCTGTACCATAAAGCAAGTTTCAGTAACAAATGTCAAAAGGTTGAGATAATTCAGAATACCATCTCTGAACATTATGCAAATTAAGTTAGAAATCAATGGCAAAAAGAGAACTAAAAAAGCTCCACAGGCTGTGAATTGTGTAAGACTGATGAATCAAAGACCTGTACTTCTGAAACAAATAATACATTATATGTTTAAAAAAAAAAAAAAAAAAAAGATAGTAGGAAGGGAAAAATGAAGGGGGGGAAATCGGAGGGGGAGACAAACCATGAGAAACTATGGAATCTGAGAAACAAACTGAGGGTTTTAGAGGGGAGGGGGTGGGGGGATGGGTTAGCCTGATGATGGGTATTAAAGAGGGCATGTACTGAATGGAGCACTGGGTGTTATACGCAAACAATGAATCATGGAACACTACATCAAAAACTAATGATGGAACGTATGGGGACTAACGTAACATAATTTAAAAAAAAAAGCTCCATAGGCTTGGCAATTAATAACATAATTCTAAATAATGCATGGGTGAAGAAATCACAAGAACATATTTTCACATGAAATATCATGAAAATACAATATAACAAAAGTTTTTAGATAAAGTTAAAGCCAGGCTTAGAAGGAAATTTACTGCCTGAAATACATGTTACAAAAGAAAAGAGGCTGGGAGGAAAAAAAAAAAAAATCAATGAACTAAGTTTCCATATCAAGAAATCAGAAAGGGAAATGCAAATGAATCTTCAAGAAAAGTCGAAAGAGGAAAATAATAAAACAGACACCACATAGGTAATAGAGGAGATCAACAGTCAAAACTGGTTCCTGAAAGATTAATACAACTGAAAATCCTCTGGTCAGACTAATCAAGAAAAAGAGAAGGCACAATAACAACTATCATAAATAAAAAGGGAAGGATATTAAAGAATATAGGGATGTTAAAAAGTTAAGTGGAATATTATAATTTTATGGCAGTACATTCCAAACTTAGAAATAGACAAAGTCTTAGGAAGATACTACTAACCAGAATTAGACAATCTGAGTAGTACTAAAGAATCTGAATCTATAGTGAAAAAGTTTCCCATAAAGAAAACTTCAAGACTACTCAGCTTCACAGGTGGAATTTTGTCAAACATCCAAGGACAACTGATAAAGGAACGCTTCCCAGGGGCGCCTGGGTGGCTCAGTTAGTTAAGCGTCTGCCTTTGGCTCAGGTCATGATCTCTAGATCCTGGGATGGAGCCCCACATCGGGCTCTCTGCTCAGCAGGAACTCTGCTTCTCTTTCCCTCTCCCTCTGCCACTCCCCCCTGTTCGTTCTCTCCCTCTCTCTCTCTCTCAAATAAATACAATCTTTAAAAAAATAATAAAGGAATACTTCCCAATCTGTTTTATGAGGTAATGTTACCTTGAGACCAATCCTAAGAAGAACATTATGAAGAAATGAAAATTACAGGTCTATCCCACTCATCAACAGAGATGTGAGGAAAAGAAAGAAAGAGAGAAGAAAAATGCAACAGCATTTTGAGAAGTGGAAAAATCAATCAACAAGTGATTGGACTCAAGAAACTGAAATCTAACAGAGCTTCCAGGACTGGCAGAAACTGAAAGAATATGTGACAACTAAGCCGGCCCTGCAACAAATATTAACGGAGGGAGGTTATATAAAAGGAGAAAGACCCCAAGAGTGATACAGAACAGAAATTTACAGAGACAATCTATAGAAACAAGGACTTCACAGGTAACATGATGACAATAAAATCATATCTTTCAATAATCACTCTCAACGTGAATGGCCTAAATGCTCCCATAAAATGGAACAGAGTTGCAGATGGATAAAAAGACAGGACCCATCGATTTGCTGTCTATAAGAGACTCATTTTGAACCTAAAGATGCATCCAGACTGAGCGAAGGGATGGAGAACCATCATTCATGCCAACAGACCTCAAAAGAAAGCTGGGGTAGCAGTTCTCATATCAGACAAATTAGATTTTAAGCTAAAGACTGTAGTTAGAGACACAGAAGGACACTATGTCATTCTTAAAGGGTCTATCCAACAGGAAGATCTAACAATTGTAATATCTATGCCCCCAACATGGGAGCAGCCAACTACATAAGCCAACTGTTAACCAAAATAAAGAGACATATTGATAATAATAAGTTAATTGTAGGAGACCTCAACACTCCACTCTCAGCAATAGACAGATCATCTAAGCAGAAAATCAACAAAGAAACAAGAGCTTTGAATGATACACTGGACCAGATGGACCTCATAGATATATAAAGAACATTCCACCCTAAAACAAGAGAACATTCATTCTTCTTAAATGTACATGGAACTTTCTCCAGAATAGACCACATACTGGGTCACAAATCAGGTCTCAACCAATACCAAAAGACTGAGATTATTCCCTGCATATTTTCAGACCATAATGCTTTAAAACTAGAACTCAATCACAAGAAAACATTTGGCAGAAATTCAAACACCTGGAAGCTAAAGACCACTCTGCTTAAGAATGTTTGGTTCAACCAGGAAATCAAAGAAGAACTTAAACAATTCATGGAAATCAATGAGAATGAAAACACATCAGTCCAAAACCTATGGGATACTGCAAAGGTGGTCCTAAGGGGAAAATACATAGCCATCCAACCCTCACTCAAAAAAACTGAAAAATCCCGAATTCACCAACTAACTGTACACCTTAAAGAACTGGAGAAAAAACAACAAATGATGCCTAAGCCATGCATTAGAAAAGAAATAATTAAGATTAGCACAGAGATCAATGAATTAGAAACCAGAAATACAGTAGAGCAGATCAATGAAACCTGAAACTGGTTCTTTGAAAGAATTAATAAGATCGATAAACCACTGGCCAGACTTATCCAAAAGAAAAGAGAAAGGACCCAAATTAATAAAATTATGAATGAAAACAACTAACACCAAGGAAATAGAAACAATTATTAGAAATTATTATCAACAACTATATGCCAATAAATTAAGCAACCTGGAAGAAATGGATGCCTTCCTGGAATCCTATAAACTACCAAGACAGAAACAGAAACAAGACAACCTGAATAGACCAATAACCAGTAACAAGATTGAAGGAGTGATCAAAAACCTCCCAAAAAACAAGAGTCCAGGGCCTGATGGATTCCCTGGGGAATTCTACCAAACACTCAAAGAAGAAATAATACCTATTCTTCTGAAGCTGTTTCAAAAAATAGAAAAAAAAGGAAAGCTTCCAGACTCATTCTATTAGGCCAGCATTACCTTGATACCCAAACCAGGCAAAGACCCCATCAAAAAGGAGAATTTCAGACTGATATCCCTAATGAATATGGATGCCAAAATTCTCAACAAGATCCTAGCTAATAGAATCCAACAGTACATTAAAAGGATCATCCACCATGACCAAGTGGGACTTATTCCTGGGATGCAAGGGTGGTTCAACATTCACAAATCAATGTGATAGAACACATTAACAAGAGGAGAGAGACGAACCATATGGTCCTCCCAACTGATGCCAAAAAAGCACTTGAAAAATACAGCATCCTTTCCTGATTAAAACTCTTCAGAGTATAGGGATAGAGGGAACATTCCTCAAGTTCATAAAATCCATCTATGAAAAACCCACAGCGAATATGATTCTCAGTGGGGAAAAGCTGAGAGCCTTTCCCTTAAGATCAGGAACATGACAATGATGCCCACTCTCACCACTACTGTTCAAAATATTACTACAAGTCCTAGCAACAGCAATCAGACAACAAAAAGAAATAAAAGGTATTCAAATTGGCAAAGAAGAAGTCAAACTCTCTCTCTTCGCAGATGACATGATACTTTATGTGGAAAACCCAAAAGACTCCACCCCCAAATTACTAGAACTCATATAGCAATTCAGCAATGTGGCAGGATACAAAATCAATGCACAGAAATCAGCTGCTTTCTTATACACTAACAATGTAACTGTAGTAAGAGAAATTAGAGAATCGATTCCATTTACAATAGCACCAAAAACCATAAGATACCTTGGAATAAACCTAACCAAAGAGGTAAAGGATCTATACTCTACGTACTACAGAACATTCATGAAAGAAACTGAAGAAGACACAAAAAAATGGAAAAACATTCCATGCTCATGGATCTGAATAAACATTGTTAAACTGTCTATGCTGCCCAGAGCAATCTATACTTTCAACACCCATCCTGATCAAAATACCAATGGCATTTTTCAAAGTATTGGAACAAACAATCCTAAAATCTGTATGGAGTCGGAAAAGACCCCAAATCACCAAGAAAATGTTGAAAAAGAAAAACAAAGCTGGGGGCATCATGTTGCCTGATTTCAAGCTATATTACAAAGCTGTGATCACCAAGACAGCACGGTACTGGCACAAAAACAGACACATAGACCAATGGAACAGAATAGAGAGCCCAGATATGGACCCTCAACTCTATGGTCAAATAATCTTCAACAAAGTAGGAAAAACTATGCAATGGAAAAAAGACAGTCTCTTCAATAAATGGTGCTGGGAAAATTGGACAGCTATGTACAGAAGAATGAAACTCGACCATTCTCTAACACCATACACAAAGATAAACTCTAAATGGATGAAAGACCTCAATGTGAGACAGGAATCCATTAAAATTCTAGAGGAGAACAGAGGCAGTAACCTCTTCGACATCAGCCACAGCAACTTCTTTTAAGACACATCTCCGAAGGCAAGGGAAACAAAATCGAAAATGAACTTTTGGGACTTCATCAAGATAAAAAGCTTCTCCACAGGAAAGGAAAGAGTCAACAAAACAAAGAGGCAACCCATGGAATGGGAGAAGATATCTGCAAATGACACTACAAACAAAGGGCTGATATCTAAGATCTATAAAGAATTTCTCAAACTCAACACCATAATCAAGTCAAAAAATGGGCACAGACACTTCTAAAAAGACATACAAATGGCTAACAGACACTTGAAAAAATGTTCATCATCATTAGCCATCAGAGAAATTCAATCAAAACCACACTGAGATACCACCTTACACCAGTTAGAATGGCAAAAATTAACAAGACAGGAAACAACAAGTGTTGGCGAGGATGTGGAGAAAGGGGAACCCTCTTGAACTGTTGGTGGGAAGGCAAGTTGGTACAGCCGCTTTGGAAAACAGTGTGGAGGTGCCTCAAAAAATTAAAAATAGAGCTACCCTATGACCCAGCAATTGCACTACTGGGTATTTACCCCAAAGACACAGGTGTGGTGAAAAGAAGGGCCTTATGTACCCCAATGTTCGTAGCAGCAATGTCCACAATAGCCGAACTGTGGAAAGAACCGAGATGCCCTTAAACAGACAAGTGGATAAAGAAGATGTGGTCCATATATACAATGGAATATTACTCAGCCATCAGAAAGGGTGAACACCCAACATTTGCATCAACATGGATGGGACTGGAGGAGATTATAAGTGAAATTAGTCAAGCAGAGAAAGTCAATTATCATATGGTTTCACTTATTTGTGGAACATAAGGAACAGCATGGAGGACATTAGGAGAAGGAAGGGAAAAATGAAGGGGGGGAAATCGGAGTGGGAGACGAACCATGAGAGACTATGGACTCCGAGAAACAAACTGAGGGTTCTAGAGGGGAGGGGGTGGGGGGATGGGTTAGCCTGGTGATGGGTATTAAGGAGGGCACCTATTACATGGAGCACTGGATGTTATATGTAAACAATGAATCATGGAACACTATATCAAAAACTAATGATGTAATGTATGGTGACTAACATAAAAAAAAAAGAAGCTGAAATCAAGGCTGACAATGGAAAAAGCCAAGAAACAAATCCATATACTCTGTGTAACCCATAAAAAGCTTAAAATAGCAGTACAAAGTACTGCTAGAAATAGGGTTTAAGATGGGGTTAAAAACGGGAGAACTGGCCAAAAATCTGCTCAAGAAGCAGTTACTTCCCTAGATCTTCTTTCCAGCTCTGAACATGGTAGTAAGCTTCCCCTTCCACATCCTAATAGAAGGCCAGACGTTAATTCTCTAGGAAGTTTACAAAGAGTATCTCTGAATCAGGGGAAAAGTGGCACAGTTCTAACTAGAGGTAACATATGTAAGATAGAGCAATTAAGTAAATGTATGAATTACTGGATACTAAGTCTCCCCAATCTATTCCCACTGGGCTTCCAAAATTATGACAGCCAGGTTTTCACTTTCCAAGCAGGGGGAAACAAATCTTTCCTGAAAAATGAGACCAGCTTAAGAGTCAAAAAGCTAAAGACATTTAGAGTTCCACACAACATGGCCCACATACATCATCTCATAAGCCCAACAACCCAGAGAGAACTTCCAATCAGCATTTTAATACTCTACTATAAAGTGTGAACAGACAATAATGTGAACAGACAATTTGGGATTACCAGACATTAATAAGTCTTTAACAAAAGCTGAAGACAAACCCAACAAATAATAAAAAAAAAAAAAACCAAAACCAAAAATCTTAGAGAAGACCTGCAATAAAAGAGTACTTTTAAATAAAATTAATACATCAAAATTATTCTCAGTATAAAGAAAGTGAAGCAGGAAGTTTTTAAAAAGTAACAAAAAGGGCGCCTGGGTGGCTCAGTTGGTTAAGCGACTACCTTCGGCTCAGGTCATGATCCTGGAGTCCCAGGATCGAGTCCCACATCGGGCTCCCTGCTCAGCAGGGAGTCTGCTTCTCCCTCTGACCCTCTTCCCTCTCGTGCTCTCTATCTCTCATTCTCTAATAAATAAAATCTTTAAAAATAAATAAATAAAATAAAATAAAAACAAAAAAATAGATTAAAATAAAAACATGATAGGAAGGAATAAAACATTTAAAAATTCAGGGGGAATTGAAAGATAAAGAAATCTCTCAGAATATAGAACAAAAAGATAGAGTTGAAAAACAGAAAATGCAAGAAAATTGGAGGACCATCCAAGGAGTCCCATATTTAATAAATAAGACTTCCAGAAGGAAAGAAAAAAAAGAAAACAAACCAAAAAACGCAATCCACAGAGTGCTAAGAAATATTTCAAGAAAATTTCTCAGAACTGAAAGTTTCTAAATTAAAATGACTCACAGAGTATCCAGCATAATAGATTAAAACATCTTCACCAACCTACATCATTGTGAAATTTTGGAAAACTGAGAGAAAAAAGATCTACAAGTTTACAGAAAGGCAAAAACAAATTTTCAATAAAATATAACTATCAAAATGACATCAGACTTTTGAAGATCAAATCTGAAAGTTAACACAATGAACAATGACTTTAAAAGTCTGAAGAAAACATTTTCAAACTAGAATCTATAGCCAGTCACACAATTAGGTATAAGGGTAAAAATAATTTTTTAATATTTTGAAGACCTCAAAAACTTTACATCTTATACATCCCTTCTCCTGCAGCCTCTAGGGCACATATTCCATCAACCAAGAAAAAGGAAGTACGAGATCCAGGACCGAGAATCCAACAGAGAGGGGAAAAGAGAATTTTCAGGATAAGAATAAAAGAAGATCTTAAGATGTTAAGAGTAACTGATCTAAAACAAAGTAGGTCAAATCAAAAAGCTCAGGAGAGACTTCTGCAAGATGATACTGATAGAATTCCAATGTGTCTGAACACACTTGAAAGAGGAAGGTGTGAATGAAATGACAATTATTACCTTCAGGGAAGACAAAAAGCTGAGCAGGGAAGAAAAAGAAACGTAATGTTATATGACTCAGCTGTGACTACAATTAAAATATTAATGTAATATTAATGCTGAATATCAACCGTGGCAAATTATGCTATACCTTTACTGGGAGGCTGAGTGTATATGTGTGTAATGGAGCACAGGAGGAAAGAATAAATTCTTCATCTTAGACAGTGGGAAGTCATTAATAGAGTATAAAACAGAAAAATTAAGAAGCAGCAATATAAGGATATTACTAAGAGAAAAAGAGAAAAAGTAATCAGCTAAAAGAGCTAAAAATAGTTTCTATGGAGAGGAGGTAACAGAGTAGGGATAAAATATTCCAGGGGTACTGGTTTTTGCAGTTTTGTAGAACTGCTTGATTTTCTAAACAATGTGCATGTATAATTTTAACAAAAACAAAAAACTATTTTTAAAAGGTAGAACACTTACCAATATACTTTTCTTGCTTTCTGAATAGAGGTAACTGTTTGGACTTCTTTTAAGGTTTGCTTTGTTTTCTTTTCTGCTGATTTAAATGCCTATTTATAAGAAGAGACTTTTTAAATAATTTGTTAAGAACATATTTTAGTAACACCAAGTAAGGGGTGCCTGGGTGGCTCAGCTGGTTAAGCATCCAACTCTTGATTTCAGCTCAGGTCATGTTCTCAAGGTCATGAGATCAAGCCCCGCATTGGGCTCGGTACTGAGCATGGAGCCTGCTTGATTCTCTCACCCTCTCTCTCCGCCCCTCTTCCCCCCATCCCCCACATGCACGGGAGCACACGCGTTTTCTTTCTCTCAAAAAAAAAAAATAATAAAATATAAAGTAACACTAAGTAAATGATAGGGCAAGAAATTATTTTAAATGTCACAAGATGGCACTATTTACACACACACCCCATACCCACACGAAAGAAATGAAGAAAAGATTTTTGCCTTGAATATTAAAATGATTTAAGTCAAGGATTTACCGCGTACAAGTATTTGCTTAAGACCCACAAATAACAAAAAGTATCATTTGTTTACCAGATACTGAGTACATACCATATAATAGGTTCTGCACTAGATGCTGAGACACACAAGTGAACAAGACAAAGTTCTCACCTCAACCCCACCAGGGGGTCTAGAAGAAGATACGAATATAAAACACATAATTATTCAAATAAATGTATGTTAAGTGCTTCTAGGGATGCTATGAGAGTATAACAAGGGAACCCAATTTATAACTGCTTATGGTCAAAGAAGGTATTTCTGAGGAAATGGCATTTGGGCTGAAGCCTGAAGGGTTAATAGAGTTATCAAGGCAAAAATACGAAGAAGATCACAGTAAGCAAAAAGAAAAGGCCAGCTTGACCACAAAGCAGTGATCACAAGATAAAATGTCAAGAAATGAGGCTGAAGAGGCAGATAGAGGGCCAAGTCATGAAGGCCACTCATTTAACAGATATTAATGTTACTATGTTCTAGGCAATATTCTAGGGACTGGGACAAAGTAATGAACAAAGATCCTACTTTCATACAATCTACTTTCTAGCGGGAAGACAGATAAACATATGTTGGGAAGGGTGTTTTTTAAGAAAAAAATAAAGCAAAGAGGGAGTGATTGAGGGCAGTACTATTTTTAGTAAGAGTGGTCAAGAAAGGACTCTCTGATAGAGCCTCATTTTAGTAGATATGCCAATGAATGGAGGGATCAAACCATGGAAATTTTGAGGGAAGAACATTCTCATCAGAAAGAGCAGCAAGCACAAATGCCCTGAGAAGGCAGCATCAGTCACTGTTGCGGGAACAGCTAGGATCCCAGTGTAGCTGGAAAGAATGTTAAGAAGAGGAGTGCAGGTGATTAGATGGTAGGGGAGCAATCATGTAGGGCCTTACAGGGCAAGAGAAGGGCTTTGAACTGTCTTGGTTTTGTGTGGTTTTTTTGTTGTTTTTAAAGATTTTATTTATTTATTTGACAGAGAGAGACACAGCGAGAGAGGGAACACAAGCAGGGGGAGTGGGAGAGGAAGAAGCAGGCCTCCTGCCGAGCAGGGAGCCTGATGCAGGACTCGATCCCAGGACCCTGGGATCATGACCTGAGCCGAAGGCAGACGCTTAACGACTGAGCCACCCAGGCGGCCCTTGGTTTTGTTTTAATTTATTTGAGAGAGAAAGAGTGGGCAAGGGGCAGGGGGAGATGCGGTGGGGAGCAGAAGGAGAGGGAGAAAGAAACCCAAGCAGACTCCAGGCTGAGCATGGAGCCCAACAGAGGGTTCGATTTCACGACCCTGAGAGCATGACCTGAACCAAAAACAAGAGTCCAACGTTTAATGGACTGCACCACCCAGGCGCCCCTAAACTGTCTTAAGATGGGAAGCAACTGGATTTTGAACAGAGAGAAATAACTTCATTTTTTGTTTTAAAAGATCACTATGGATGCTACATGAAGAACAGACTGAAGGGGGTAAAGGGTAGAAGAAGACAGACCCAGGAAGAGGCTGTTACAGTCCATGTGAACAGAGATGATGAGGGCCTGGACTAATGAGTAGTGGCCAGATTCTGGTTACACCCTATAGGAAAAGCTACAAGGATATGCTGATGAGAGAATGGATACGGTTTATGAGCAAAGGGTCTAGGATGAGTCCAACGTCTTTAACCTAACTAAAAGGAAAAAAGAAGGCACTATTTACCAAGACAGGGAAGACTGGGAAGGAAGTTCGGGGAAGAAAATAAATACCGGAAATACACACATCTAAAGCAAAATTAAACCTGAAAGATATTTCTGAATTAGAAAACCACATTTAAACAGAAGAAATAATTAAGGCCATTAAGTTAAAGCAGAGAAAAACAATTAATGTTCACTCTAAGAGATATTAAGTACCTTTTCAGCAGCTTCAACAGTCTTTTGTGTTTTCTTAGCAGCATACCTCTTGTGATCATAGTATCTAGAAAAATATATTTCTCTTAATTTTAAGTCAAATCTTTATTCTTCAGCTTTCTATTTGTTTTATCTTAGATTCTCAAATCATACAGAACAAGTTTTGTGCATTATGCAACTTTGTTTTATATGTTTTCTATGAAAACAAAGTTGTAGGGCGCCTGGGTGGCTCAGATGGTTAAGCGTCTGCCTTCGGCTCAGGTCATGATCCCAGAGTCCTGGGATCGAGTCCCACATCGGGCTCCCTGCTCCTTGGGAGCCTGCTTCTCCCTCTGCCTCTTTCTCGCTCTCTCTGTGTGTCTCTCATGAATAAATAAATAAAATCTTAAAAAAAAAAAAAAAAAGAAAACAAAGTTGTATAATGCACAAAATGAGATTTAAAAGTGTTTTCACCCAAAAGCACATACATACATAATATACATATACATATATTATCCTTAATACCCTGATTTATTGCAGATATTTTACCTACAATTCATACTTAAATTTAACACTTACTTTTTGGCATTGGCATATGCTGACAAGCTGAGATCAACATCAACAAGTAATGGCCTATTTTTCTGAGGCTTCTGCAGCTGTTTATTCTTTTGCTTTTTCTTTTTTCCTTTTGGTGGTTCGGTTTCATTTTTTTCAACACTGATGTCACCATCAATATCGTCATCTTCCTCCTCTGATAACAAGTATGGATTTCTATTAAAAATATTCAATAGTATTTCACTAATGTCAATGACATCACTTTTTTTTTTTCAATTTTTTTCCTCAACGACATAGACTGTTTACAATATTTAAATAGCTGCATTTTTGGGGGGCACCTGAGTGGCACAGTTGGTTAAGTGTCTAACTCTTGGTTTTGCCTCAGGCGTGATCTCAGGGTCATGAGATTGAGCCCCATGATGGGCTCCCAGCTCAGCGCGGAGGCTGCTTCAGTCTCTCTCCTCCTCCCCTCCACCCCAAGGGCACTCATGCACACGCTTGCACTCTCTCGCTCTCTAAATAAAATCTTTTAAAAAATTAAATAGCTGCGTTATCTTAATGTAAATTGTTTTTTCCTGTATCTTTGAGGATAAATTTCCAAATAAAAGACAAAAAATTTTAAATACAGTGAACAAACAGCAAAATAAAAACAATTATGAACTGCTTAACTAAGAATCAAACTTACCTTAGTAGCATTGTAACATGATTTGTTTGTAGTTTTAATTCTTTAATTGCATTTGCAACAGGGTCTCCTTGAGCTTGGGCTTCTTTCACAATTAACCCGATTTCCGTCCAATCTATCTGGTTGGCTAAAGCACTTCGAACAACCTGAATGGCTCTGTCAACTATTTGTAGGTTCATTTCTATGAGCTCTCCTTTAAGTTTGTCTATTTCCTTAAGAAATAAACAAAAATGTTTACTATAATGCCAGTTAAAGTTACCATTTTTTCAGTTTTTATTTTAATTCCACTTAGTTAACACACAGTGTTACATTTAAAGTTACCATTTTTGAAATCTGAAAAAGCTAAACATAATACCTGAGCCTGTTGAAGAGCTTCTAATCGGTTTTCATGATCCTTTCGGACGTTATCTAATTTTTTCAATGCTTGTTTTTCCTTTTGTAGACAAAACAGATTTTTAAAAACTTAAATTTCTCATGCCTCTTACATCTTTTCTCTCTTACGTCCTGAAACTCACTATCCCACCTCCACTTCAGCCCCCTCAATGTTGTCACCTTGCTAGCTAAGGTTCCCATACTCCACCTCCCAGGTCTATCCTACCCCAAAGTGTTTCATGCTCTCAAACTACCTCTCCCAACTACCTACCTCCCATTCCCTATATAGGAAGGTATTTTGATTATAGGTTATATTGTATGTAATATGTGCCCCTAATGCCCTTGCATTATTCAAGAAGGCATAATTCAAGACATTGTCTTCTTATCACATAAAAGTAATGTTTTGGGGAAATGCATTCTTAACGAACATAAATGACCAAAACAGCTTTTTTTTTTTTTAAAGATTTTATTATTTATTTGGCAGAGAGATACAGAGAGAGAACAAGTAGGCAGAGAGGCAGGCAGAGGGAGAGGGAGAAGCAGGGTCCCCGCAGAGCAGGGAGCCCCATGCAGGGCTCGATACCAGGACCCCGGGATGATGACCTGAGCCAAAGGCAGCCGCTTAACCAACTGAGCCACCCAGGCGCCCCCCAAAACAACTTCTTTTTATTTCATTGCTGCTTTTAATTTTCTCATCATCATTTCTACAAAGTACTCTTTTTTCTAAATTAATGCCACAAAGGCTCATGGTAGTTAATTTACCTTCTATAAAGCATTTTATCATATATCATTTACCTTTCAAGGTTACTGATCTGGAGCAAATTTTCTAACACTAGTAATAGTATCACTAATTAATGAATGTTTGAATGCTGGATGTAATGTTTAAAAAAATGTGAATTTTAAGAATGGTGGCTATAAATAAAAAAAGTCTTAAGAAAAAAAATTTTTAGTAAAAGGGGACACCTGGGTGGCTCAGTTGGTTAAGTATCTGCCTTCAGCTCGGGTCATGATCTCAGGGTCCTGGGATCGAGTTCCACATTGGGCCCCTTCTCAGCAGGGAGTTTGCTTCTCCCTCTCCCTTTGCCCCTCCCCCTGCTTATGCTCTCATGCTCTCTCTCTGATAAATAAAATCTTAAAATTAAAAAAAAAGAACAGTGACTATTAAAAGAACACAGTGATCACTAAAATAATTCATGGATATTCTGATGCTCATAAAAACATGCCATTCAATGAGCCCACGAAATATGTTTACTAGTTCAGGTGCTGCCACCATGTGGCAGTCACACTAATTCATTCAACCCACCTGCTTTGAAATTGTGCTAATTTTTTTTTTTTTTTAAGATTTTATTTATTTGACAGAGACACAGTGAGAGAGGGAACACAAGCAGGGGGAGTGGGAAAGGGAGAAGCAGGCTTCCCACTGGAGCAGGGAGCCTGACGTGGGGCTGGATCCAAGGACCCCAGGATCATGACCTGAGCCGAAGGCAGATGCTTAACGACTGAGCCACCCAGGTGCCCCTGTGCTGTTAATTTTTTATAACAGGGGGACGGTACAGGGATTCATATAATTCCAAATTTTTGCACACATATTTCAAGACTTTACTTATCAATATTTTTGAAAAATCAAATCAATTTCAAATCAAGAGCGTGGCTAATTTCTAAAGCTGTTCTGCAGCAATCCTCCAAAAACATGGTCAAATGTGCTGGGGAAACAGAGCATATTAAACTCTCCTGTGGAGTTGGAAAGCCCACTTAGAAAAAAACAGTTTAATGATAAACAAATACGATTATTTGTAGAGAAAGGACAATTCCCTCTCTTTTGGCCTGTTTAAAAATTTCCTCGGAAGAGTATTTCCTTAATAGCAAAGTTTGAGAAGCTTTGGGCTGCTGTAGTAACACAAATTATACTAGGGAATAAATAACAAGCCTCACCTTCCCACTGTATTTTCCGTTTTGGAGAATATCTGACATACTGATGGAACAAATGAGGGAATGCCTTCCAACAATGAGACCTCCCCTGTACCTTTATCAATAAACTAAGGAATCAGGGCATTCCCATACTACTTCTGAAAGGCTGCCCATTCCTATTATGAAAGCATCATCCACACAAAAAACACACTAAGGCTAGCTGGTTTAATATAAATGTTTTCAGCAATACCATACCTGTTGTAAAGCTTTTAAATCTATTTTCTGACCTTCTATCTTGGAAAAAAATTCATCCACAGCCTTAGTAAAAAAAAAAAAAAAAAGATAGTAACTAGTTTAAAAAAAAAAACATGGTCTCTACTTCAACTTACAAACAGAATTTTAGAGTCCATTTTGTTTTACAACACTACTCAAAGAACTTGAACAGATTCCTAGTAAATGTATCATATAGCTAAACAGACAGAATCAAATTAAGTTAAAATCTTTGGTCCTTCATCTTGAAATAAAATGGCAACAAAAATTTCCAATAGTTTTTATTTGTGACTGCACTGATCTTTAATGCCCAGATTCAGTGATTGTAAACCAAAAATACTTTCAATTTATCAATCAAAGCAAGTTGGTATTAATTTAATAACTCATATCGTGCTAACTGGTCAAAAAAACAGAATTGGAAAACCCACCTTGTCAAATGATTCAAATTCTATATATGGACATTGTGAATGTTGAGAAAACAAGAAAGGATGAAATTCCTCATACCTGCAAAACATATTTATTATATCATTCAAGAACATTAATAAACATCGAAAGCAAAGTGACTCATGCCTACATGCTTACGTGAATATGTCTTCAGTTGGTTTATCGACTTCCAAACTTGGTTTTATTTCTCTTTTCTGAATGATGTACCCCTACAAAAATCCAGTATTAAAACTCTTTCTCTTCATAGTTAACAAAGATTTACTTTCCATTTCTGATATAAATTTTATTAACTTATAAAATTATTCCAGTTTTAAATAATCTGCATTTGTCTATTGATTGTACCAATTCTCAAATGATGTTTCTAGGCTAAGTATTATTAAATAATACTGTTTTTTTTCATATGGACAAGAAAAAAATAAGGAAGAAAATGAAAACTAGTGAATTAATAAAGTGGTGGGATTATACATGTGCATTATGCTTTTTTCTTTCCATTTTTAGATGTTCTGCAACTTAAAACAACCAAAAGTACTTTACTTCCAGAAGAAAAAAATCTTAGATTCACTTTGTTGGTAGGAAATTTTAATTCATTTAAAAAACTGGGCAGGTATATTTGCACTGAATTTAGGTATAATTACTCAGAACTTTTTCTGAACCTGTTATAAAGTTATACTTCCAATAGGGAAGAAAAAGAAGGTATGAGATAATTCAGAGGATGTTTACCTATTAGAGTGATATAACAGAATGGGTAGAAATCAGAGAGGGAGACAAACTAGGAGAGAAGCTTAACTATGGGAAAGAAACTGAGGGTTGCTGGAGGGAAGGTGGGTGGGGGAATGAGGTAACCAGGTCATGGGCTTTAAGAAAGGCACGTGGTGTGATGAGCACTGGGTGTTATATACAACTGATGAATTACTGAACTCTACATCTGAAACTAATGATGTTCTGTATGTTGGTTAATTGAATTTAAATTTTAAAAAAATTTTTTAATATAAAAAATTGAGTGATGTAAATCACCAATTTTTTAAAAAGTGCTGGTAAATTAAAACATGCTTCTCTATCTAAAAATCAGTGTAAGAGGATATACTTTCAAATCCCTCAACTTTCCTGGTATAACAATAATGACCTCACCTAATACTTTCTATAAAAGAAACAGAAGAAAAATTATAAACCCAACAGCAATTTAAAAAAACAAAAAACCCTAGAATAAGCATATTATAGATGTTGAATTTCCAAATTACAACAAAAACTTAAATGTAGTGATCCTTAATGAACTTTAAATTCTGAAAATCTAAATAAATAAAACCACAACAATATACAGTAAGTATATGTGGTGCTACCTTTCCACTGAAGTTGGATGTTGTTTTCATATAGTCTTCTGCTTGCTGCAGACAAACAAGTACTTTTTCAATATCTAACAGAATAAAAATGGAAAAAATCAAGTGTCAATAACTATTAAACAACCATGTAGAAAACAGAAAAGTGCTGATGCAATAGTAAAAAATGTTCAAGAAAAGTAGATACAGTTATTTCATGTTTGTAATCAGTAGATGTAATTAAGAATATGTTTTGGCCAGTTTGTGATCCCAACAGCTTTTTACTGAATCATTTTTCCCCTCATGATGGTAAAGGAATTTTGTTCACATACTAAATTTCCATATATATTTGGGCCTGTTTCTGAATTCTTTATTTTGTATTTCTTCAAAAACTTCCTGTTAGGTTCTTAATATATCTATGAAAGGGTTATTCTCCATCATTACTATTATTTTCCAGTTTTCCTGAACATTTTCACATGCTTTTACTCCATAAGAGTATCAGATTTGAAACAAAACACTAGAGTTGCAAAAACAATACCACCTGTTGCCATTTTGATCAGGATTGCACTGAATTAGTATTTTAAATACGAAATCATTCATTAAAACATTTAACTTGTATTTTTAAACATAAAAACATTTACAGCATAAAAATTACTATCCCTAAAGCTTAAATTATATATAACCCCAAAATACAAACATGAAGAATGACTTTTTAAAAATTTTACATGAGAATCTGCAGATAAATTTGTCCAAAACCAAGTCTTCCATTTCCCTTATATTTCCTCTAATTTTTATTATCCTAATCTGGCAATTTTAGTTAGGTTCCTTTAAGTAATTACAAAAGCCTAATTCATTTTATAGCTACATTACAGTTCTTACAGAATTAAAATGCACGAATAATGCTATTTCTAAAAGCACTCCAACTTCCTAGTCAGAAGGTGAGTAATTCAACTCCTTCAAGCCTGTAACAGAGACTATCAAGTTTGGTAACCACTTCAAATATTTAGGGAGAGGAAGAGAGAATATTCTAAAGTTGAAAGGTAATAAGGTAGAGATTGGACTGTGAGTTACTAGGGATAAAGTGCCACATTAGAGGGGTGCCTGGGTGGCTCAATTAAGCATCCACCTTCAGCTCAGGTAATGATCCCGGGGTCCTGGGATCAAGCCTCTCGTCAGGCTCCCTGCTCAGCGGGGAGTCTGCTTCTTCCTCTCCCTCTGCAACCCCTGCCTCCAGCTTGTGCTCTCTCTCTCCTTCTGTCCCAAATAAATAAAATCTTTAAAAAGGAGAAAAGCGGGGAGCCTGGGTGGCTCAGTCAGTTAAGCATCTGCCCTAGGCTCAGGTCATGATCCCTGGGATTGAGCCCCGCATTGGGCTCCCTGCTCAGCGGGGAGCCTACTTCTCCCTCTGCTTCTCTTCCTATTCGTGCTTTCTCTCCCTCTCTCTCTCAAATAAATAAATAAAATCTTAAAAAGGAAAAAAAAAAAGGTAAAAGTGCCACATCAGAGTAGGAAGCCAGGAATACCAAATGGATAGAACATTCAAAGGTTAAATGTTTTTAAGTTTACAGCTACCTCCTCATTTTTATTATTTTCCCAGAATTAATTTTCATAGTTTTTAAAAAAGGAAATGAAAATGGACAAATCTTGTAGCATGCAGGCATACCTTTGCTTTCAAATTTTTCATCCACTTTGACATTTCCAGAGAATCCATTTTCTATAAGACAGTGTTCAATGAGAGCTGGTCCATAGGCTATAAAAGCAGAGGGTATCATTTTTAATATTTTCCCATAAAATTTAACATTCAAAATATAATCCAAAATTTATATCCCAATATAAATATCTAAATAACAGTAGCCAGTGAAAATAACAATTTACTTATTTTGCTTAGATTTTATTATTTTAGTTTACTTATTTTTGAAATGTTATTAGAAATAACAATTCAAGTACTTATAAATATTTGAGACTATAAAACAATTGAAGTCAGTGCATAAGTTATAGAAATTTAATGGAATTGAGCCACATATAAAGGACATAAATCAGGAATGAAAGATTGTTTTAACATCCAAAAACCAGTTAATGCAATACACCATGTTAACAGAGTAAATTTATAAAAAATCCAAACTTAAAAGTTTTATGTGTGCTATACACTTTCCAACTGGAAAGTTGCAGAGATAACTTTTTAATGCCTTCTAATTTCATAAGAGAATCCTGAAAACTACATTTTCTTACAAACATTTCACTGCCCTATTTAGGAGTACTCACGAAGTAATGGGTTAAGAACTCTCTTCAATAATTCACCCTTAGGTGCACTGGCTATTATTTCAGTCAATCTGTGAAAACAAAATTGACACACCTCTTAATATCTTATATTTACAGCAATATTCATATTCACAATACTTTCATACACATCAAATTGCCTGATTTATCATGGTACTCTAAAGTACAAGAGGAATTAGTTCACTTTGTAGGTAAGAAAATGGGTTGTAAAAATAATTTATCCAAGGGTAGTAGGTTCCTGAGCAGCAGATTGGGACCCAAAACCAATTTCCTAAGAAAAATCAATACTTTCTCAACTAAGTCATATTGCTTATTGTCAATGTGCTCATACATGACAGGAAAGTGATGTTTTTATATAACAGGTAAATGTTTGTAGAACCTGGTGATATATCTTAATACCCGGAATGGCTTTAATAAGAACTCTTAACGATGCTGTGGGCCACTCTGGTCCCCAGATCAGCAGCATCAACATAACCTGAGAACTTGTTAGAAATGTAAATTCCTGGGGCGCCTGGGTGGCTCAGTCGTTAAGCATCTGCCTTCGGCTCAGGTCATGATCTCAGTGTCCTGGGATCGATTAAGGGTCTTGGGATCGAGCCCCGCATCAGGCTCCCTGCTCAGCGGGAAGCCTGCTTCTCCCTCTCCCACTCCCCCTGCTTGTGTTCCTTCTCTCACTGTGTCTCTCTCTCTCAAATAAATAAATAAAATCTTAAAAAAAAAAAAAGTAAATTCCTGGGCCGATCCCAGATCCACTGAATCAGACACTAGAAGCAGGGGCAGCAATCTATGTTTTATTAAGTCCTCCAGGTGAATGTGATGCATGTTACACTTTCAGAACCTCTGCTATAGCTATTAGACAGCAAAACCTTTCAGCCAGAAGAGCACTACATTTTCTTGCAAACATTTCATCATTATAATTTTATAATTACAATCAGCACCTTATCCCACAGTACTCCCTTTTCTTGGCCAAACCATTTCCATTTGCACTCTGCCTAAGATAGACATCTGCCTTCTCACAGAATAGCTAGTAAGTCCCCTCACTTTACCAAGAAATCATAAACATCTAAAGTAACACCAAACTTAGATTAAAAAGACATACATTTGCTACTTGCAAATGAAGCTTAATTGCTTATATGCACATTTATGTAGTTCGAGCAGTCCAAATTTAGTTATTGCATGCAAGTAAACAAAGTATTTTCTTATGTGACAGTTCATTCATATTCTGACCTTTGACCTATTTTACCTCCTAATACATTATGAAATGAGCTTATAAACAAAACATGTTACCTTTCCAAGGTAAGCAAAGGCTCAGCAGCTCTAGCATGATCGACTGGATAGCGTTCACGAACAGCAAATTTAACATCATCTGACTCATCAGTTCGAAATCTCAGGATATTCAAAATTAGGTACTCATAATCTGTAAGAACAATGTTCCCCTGTAATAAAATAAAATATAATTTACTGCTTTTCCCAAATCATTCTTGAAACTTCTTAAAAAGTGAGGAAAAAATTGCAGTCTCTTGAAAACTTAATCAAGCTACAGAAATGAAGTTACAAACAAAAAACATTTAAATCACATCTAAGCACTGCTCTTTGCACTTGGACAGCACAGAATGTGAAATAAGATGAGCAAATAAAGGACCCCAAGTTTGAAACATAATGAAGGAATGTACAGCAACTTTAAACTCATTGTCTGATGGTTCTACAGAAATCACTAATGGAAGCACAATACAGTTATCCCCCAGTTTTCAAAACTGCTTTCTTATAAAAGACCTACATTAGTACCTGTTTTCACTAACTGAAAGAAATCTTCAAAGGATTTTCACTTTTATGAAAAAAAGGCAAAAAACAAAAAAAGCACTCAGTGTGTTTTGCAGTGATCTGTTAGAGTCAGCACATACCTCAAGCAGTGAAAGGTGGCACTGCCAATTCCCTGGAACTACACTCAGCATCTCAGCAGCAAGCCATCATAGCTTTGAACTGTGAAAATCTGTACTTTATCTCTACTTATTTTGTGTGCCCATTAGTAAGATATGACCTAAAGTATCAGAAAAGCCTAAGAGAAGTTATTTTTTGCGTCTGGGAGTGCTCAAAAATTTTTCCATATAAATTGATGGCAACTGCTTCTTTGCTTTACACCATTTCAGCTTATAAAAGGTTTCATAAGAACGGCTCTACTTTTGGATAGCAGGGGAAACCTGTAGTCAATTAACACCCTGATGACCACCAGCTGAACTAACTGCTGCCCTTGCATGAGGCAGGTCTACAAATACTGTGGCTTATTAAGAACAATTCAGAACAGACATTTTAGAGCTAAGTGAAGAGCTATTTGTCTTTTGATAGCAACAGTTATGTGGAAAATGAATAAAGACAGTTATACTCTCTATCCGAGTAATTCCACACTTGTAATATAGCCTACTGTAATAACTCAATAAAACCAAAAGCTACATGCTTAAAGATATTCACTTAAGTTTATTTACAATAGAAAAAAAATGGCAACAACCTAAATGTAAAAATTAGGGAAATTGCTGATTTATGATATATCAACATAAACTATTGAAAAGCTGTTAACTTATTAAGACTATGTCTTGAAAAAGTAGAATGTTGATAATCTTAAGTAAAAAATAGCAAGACAAAAAAATTCTGTATTCTAGGAAGTAGAAAGCAAATATATGGGAAAATGAAAATATTAAAAAGACTTTTAAAAATATTGTTACATAATCTTTTCAATAAAAAAGAGGAGGGAAACTTTTTTTTTTTTAAGACTTTATTTGAGGGAGAGACTGCACGGGAGTGTGAGAGAGAGAGGTAGAGAGAATCTGAAGCAGACTCTGCACTGAGCACAGCTGGACACAGGGCTCAATCCCACAACCTCGAGATCCTGACCTGAGCCAAAACTAAGAGTCGAGCGATTAACTGACTCAGTCACTCAAGCGAAGAAGGGGGAAAATTTAATGAAAATAAAACTGCCTAAAAAATACAGCCTTCCAAATTTATTATAGACAGTGAAGACAGGGGTTGTTACAGAATTAAAATAGATAATCACAAATGCCTTAGCAACTACTTATAAGTTGGTCACAGAAGATTGGAAAAGTAGCCCCAAACTCAGGTTGGGGAAGTGGCTTTAGTAGATGGGGCCACCATTCACCTTGATTAACAAGAAGTTACTAGGTGTTCAAAGAGTAATACCTACTCCTGAAAGTTCTGACTTCAAAGCATTCATGCATTTAACATAAAAGTTAACTGGGGAAGGAAAGCTGGGAGCTTGGAAAAATGTCCATATAGTGTCTGGTTCAGGAATATGTGACTTGAAAAACACCTGGCCATAGAGCCTGGCACACAGAAGTACTTAATAAATGTTTGTTGAATCAAAATGTGCAATTATCGAGAACATCTGGCAGATTCCAGTAAGGCAGTTACTTCCCTGGAAGTGTTTTTTCCTTAAATCAAGGTTTCCCAAACTCTTCCTTAATATGGTCCCCCCTCCATAAAAAAAGAACTCTGTGATCAAGTAAGTTGAAAATTCTAAGTAACAAATCCTTCTCTAGGGGATATACACATCACATTATATGGATAAAATACACAGAGCCTGTCTGTTAAGAAATAAAAAATGCAAGCAAGACAGTAAACATTTACAGGACTGAAACCTAGGAGAAGAAAACTCAGAAAGATAAGTCCCACGCTTGGGGCTAATTTTCCCCTTGGATCATTTGTCTAACAGTTAAGAAGCAGCTGATGACAGGCTGAGAAGCTGAGCATAAATTCTGATAGACTTACAGGACAACTAAGAGGAATAAAACCAGAGTTCAGAGTCCAAGTGAAAGATGAGTTGGGGAGAGAGGGATATCCTGTAAGTCCAGCTCTGAATAGGGGGTCATAAAGGCTGCATCTCAGGGGATGAGATGAATTACAAATATACCAGCTTTTCCAGGCCCAGCTTCTATCAATTCAATCCTTGACTGGAGCGAGGTAATCTGGGATTATCTATGCCTTTAGCCACTTGTCAAAAGCAATTATTTCTCTAGAGGAAGACATCATTCCAGATCTCACAATATAACTACTGTTTTTCCTACTCAATGTCGGCCACACAATATAATAACCAGGAATGTGAGGAGACAAGACAATGTAATTAAAGTCAAAAGAAACAACAGACAATAAAAACAGACACTCAAGGGGTGCCTGGATGGCTCAGTCGTTAAGCATCTGCCTTCAGCTCAGGTCATGATCCCAGGGTCCGGGGATCAAGGCCCGAATCAGGCTCCCTGCTCCACAGGAAGCCTAGTTCTCCCTTTCCCACTCCCCCTGCTTGTGTTCCCTCTCTTGCTGTCTCTCTCTCTGTCAAATAAATAAAATCTTAAAAACAAAACAAAACAAAAAAACAGACGCTCAAAGCAATTCCAAATGACTCCAAATGATTCTTGTCTGATAGCAATAAAATTAGTGACCTGGAAGACAGGTCAAAGAAAATATGGCTGAGTTTCCCAAAACTGATGAAAAACATCAACTCAGTTCTAGAAGTGCTATGAACCCCCAAAAGATAATTACAAATAAAAACTCAACTAGGCACACCCCAGCAAAACTGAAAACTGAACACGAAAAAATTTTAAAGCATCCAGATTAGAAGGCCAGATTACCTTCAAAAGAGCCGACACTGATTTCACTAGAAACAATGGTTGACACAAGACAATATACTATTTTGGTAACTGTAAAAAATTTAATTAATAAGAGAACCAACTAGATTGTAAAACTGGTTGTAAGAGAAATGAAATAAGTGAAATATTTAGAGTGACTGAGAGAATGACTATATAAGATTGCCAATTCAAGGCAGTAAGATAAGACCAACCTTTGGGGATACCTTTTCTCTGGAGAGATATAATTTGAATCTCTACTAGATGCAATTATTTTCATTGCTATGAGGCAAGAATTATTTGTATTTCTATCAGTTTCCTACAAGTTAAAATCTACCTTTATAGAGTTGTTTAAAAAACCTAATCAATAGTAAATAGCAAATCAAAGATATACATCCTTCAAGCAAAATATAATCCCCAGGAGTGCCTGCTAGACAGAACTCAGCAGGATACTAAATGACATTGTGTCCTTTTTGTCTCTTTTCAAATTTTGGATACTTTTTTTCGGTCCCCTCTCATAACATCTAAAATTATTGATGACAAATACACATAAGCTACTCTCACTGCATCTTGGCCTGATTTATTTATATAAGTACAGCAAGAAATGTTAATTAACATATACAATCTCCTTATAGTCAGCAAATCTAGAGCCACAAGGTATGAAGCAATTACTAAAGCCATAATAATTACTGCTGCCTGGAGAATTCATAAGAAATCTGGGATTTTATTTCAAAAAGTTTGTTATCCCAGAGATTTAACAATTAGTATTTGCTTCTAATTCAAAGCTATGAAACCAAACCAAACAAAAAAACCACTACTCATTGTGTCTGTGGTATACCTATAAATGTATGTAAATTCCTCTTTAAAGTTACTCAAACCTACCCTTCCTTACTACCAATAGGCTAAGATCCTACACGCCACAGAATAGGTACAAAACCAGTTTCTCAGGAAGGCTTTGTGGACACTGCTTCTGCATATACAATATAACCTTTGTTCCTTAATGATGAGCTTGTTATCCTACTTAAATGAGACTTATTCTCAACTATGACACCCCAGGTTTGACCTTAGTTGCACAATTTGCCTAATTATATCTTGGTAAAAGGAAGGACAAATTCTTATCAAACCTATGTAAATATACACATTGCCATCAGCAGTAAAAAAAAAATGTCCATAAAAGACATTTGTTCCTAAATTCTAAGGGATCAATGAGAGCAAATTACCATTTAAAGAATATATCACTTCAATTTGCAGAAGTATAAACTACTACAGATCAAGAGAAAGGTAAAGGGCTTTATCACACACTACCATAAAACACACATCATAAAAATAATACCAACAATATTCTGAAAAAAATTAACCACAGTTAGATTCTCTCCAGTTTATTTAGTCCTGTCTGATTAATTCTAATCATCCTAGATCACAGGTTGGCACTCTATTTTCATAAAAGCACCTGCTTCTAGATTAAAGGAAGTCTCATAAATTCTAATTTGGTCCCCTGATACATTTTGGCATTTGTCTAAGCAATACTGGCTCAGATGATGTGAGTCTATTATATAAGAGCAGGGGTCAGCAAACTTTTTTACAAAGCTAACTCTGTAAAAGGCAAGACAGTAAACACTTTAGCATTTGTGACCACATATGGTCTCAGTTGCATTTTTTTTTTTTAAGAGCCCTTTTAAAACATAAAAAACATTCTTAAGTTCACAAGCTTTATAACAAGGGGCCACCGGCTGTAGTTTATCTACTCCTGTTTAAGAGTATCTGATACACCCTTTCCAGCAAGGTTCTGAAACTGACTTCTTTATTGAAGACCCAACATAATGACAAAATTATAGAAACAGAATAATTGGTAGTTGTCAGGAGGTTGGGATGGTGGGAGGAAGAGAGGTGGGTGGGTATTACCATAAAGAGGTATCACCAAGAAGATCTCTGTGGTAATGGAAAATTCTGTATCTTGACTGCAGTAGTGGTTATATATCTACAAAGGTGGTAAAATGCACAGAACTAGATGCATACATTGTACCAATATCGATTTCCTGATTCTGATACTGTCCTATATTATGTAAAATGTAACAACTGAGGGACACTGACCTCTCTTATCTTCGCAACTTCCTGTGAATCTATAATCATTTCAAAACAAAAGTTTAAAAAAATTTTTTTAAAGTAGGTATCACGCAAATTTTAACTGACCACTACCTGAGACCACATACAAAAATCAATTTCAGATGGGCTGCAGTGCAGTTGACTGCAGGGGAAGGGGCAGAACGTTCCCTGCCCATGTTTCACAGTACAATAGTATTACACAAATAATTAACAATATAATGATCAATTATCCTTTATCTCATTCCCCAAATTTAACTTACCCTATCATAGAGCTCAATGATTAGGTGATAAGCAGCTTCATCACTTCCAAATTGAAAATCTACAATTCTATCCACACCAAGCTGTTTTGCACTGACCAATCGCCGACTCTTCAAATGTTTTCGGCACTAGTGAAAAACAGAAGAAAATGTCATTTATGTAGAAGTCAATTCCTAATTGTTTGATACTGGTTTGTAAATAAGTTCCCTCTTTTCATTATCATCAAGAATAACATTTAAAAAGTAGTAAACAAAAGCTTGCAGATAACCAAAGGAAAAACACTTCAGATGACTCTCACTGCTAACTCTGAAACAGTATTTTATATTTTTTAAGAAGAAAATGACAGATCTATAGAGAAATTTATTTTGTTGTTTATACCACTGCTAAATCCCTTTTTCTTACCCTGATAACCTCATTCAAAACCATAACCTTTTTTTTAAGCCTCTTTCTAGTCCCATCTTTTAAGTATCCCCAATTTCCTTTGTGTTCAAAATTAATTAGTAGTTTTCACTAATCTTCCACTTCAAATACAAATTCTGAACCATGAGCTTATTGGTATTCTATTGGTATAATCCTCTACATACATCCAATTACCTTCTAATCTCACAAATTTATTAATATAACCCAGAAAGAATTTTTCTGGTACTGTCTCCAAAGGTTTTGATAAACCTAGCTCAAATCCAAATGTATTAACTCTCATTCCTTATCAGATCCCATTCTTCCTATCCCTAAGTCATGATGTTCTTTTCTTATTAGCAATTAAAATTAACATTCTTAAACCCAAATACAAATTACTTTGTAAATACCTATTGCTTTAGATTATATATACCATCCTTTAGTACAGATATTTAAGCATAACACAGATCAGAAACAAGATTAATCTGTAGTGCCTAAAAAATCTTCCAACTGTTTCTAATACTTGAATTTGAATGACCCCTTAGTCAAGACCAGTAAAATAGAATGCTTTCAAGACTTAAATTCAAGATTTTAAAGAGAGATTCAAATTTTACCGAGAAGTTAATATAAAGTCACCTTAAAAAGAGAGAAAGAAATATACAATCATTCCTAGAATGCCAACTCTTTGATAACCAAGACTTCTTCCCCAGACCTGATAGGTTCACATTGACTAAAATTCTTATTTTATGTACTTGTATATTCAGACAGATGTAATAAGACTTTTCAAACTTTTTTTCCCCTCTTATATTCAATAGTGCTGATTTATGAGTGGTCTATGATGATTTTGATTTAAACAGTGACCTACATATAGGGCTATTTTTAAATCCCCAGGGGAAAATCACAATCCTTCCAGAGTCCCCCAGTAGCATTTTTATTCAAGAAAAATAAAGTTAAAATGGAGATAAAAGGCATCCTTGAAGGGAACAGAAATCCACACCGTGGAATGGAGAAAAGGGAAGATTATTTATCATGAGTATAGATGGGCATACGGTACATATGTAGTGCTTATTTTGTTTATTTCCCTATTAGCAGCTTGGTGAAAACAACTGTCAGTGCCACAAAGCATTAACTGGCATTCCCAAATGTGAGAATGAGGAACAATCACTGTGATTTACCACAAACTGAGCATGACTATGACATACAACAGTAGCAGCTCTTTATTTTAAATTATTTATAACGTGCTTAACATTGTCTGCTCCAATGGAGAGTATCTCTCTATACGTTTAGATTAACATGTACACCTAACTCATAAAATTCTCTTTTTAGAGTGTTTGGCTTCCTATTAGTATAGCCTGATTTGGGGATTTTTACACAATCCCAGTATCATATATCTTATCATCTGTTACATCATCTGTAAAACTAAAATAACTGTTCTTCATATCCACTGTTATATTAAACTTAAAATATATATTATTCATTTATTTTGAAAAGTGCTATACAAATACCAAGTGTCACCATTATTAAGGACAATTCCCAAAAGAACCATGTAGGCTTACTATTAAGTATATTAAACTTTTAAGAGTTTGATAATTTTGTGACAGGCCTTGTGATTTGGGAAACACTTACCTAACTTGTAATCCAAAACAGATTCTAAGTTGCTGGGGATAAGATTCTTCTCTGTAAAGCCTCTAATGAAATAACACAATGCCAAAACAAATAAATTTCTGAAGGAAAGTGAGGAGGAGAGGAAGAAGGAAATTAATACATATGGAGCCCTAATATGTGTCAGGCATTGTGTTAGGTGCTTTACATGTTACTTCAATTAATCCTCACCAATAACCCCATGAGGGAGGTATTATCCACATTTTACATTTAAAGAAACTAAGTTTCAAGAGGTTAAGTAACTTTTCTGGGTTATAAAATTATTCAGCGGCAAAATCATTAATTCAAAGTTAGGTATATTTGATTCTAATGTCTTTCCTCTGTACCACATAATCTTTCAGTATATGTTATGTCAACAAATGGATAGGTAACACGTCCACAAATGCAGAATCTCAGCTTTAATAGAAAAAACAAAAGCAAAGAGAGACGTGAAAAGTAAAAAGATATGATTGATAACAAATGTCATTGAGTATTCCAACAAAATACAGATCGGTAGCTCAAAAGTGAACTGCAGAAAACTAGGAAAGGGGGGTAGGGCATATCACAGAAAGCCAAGAATAATAGGATATGGGTTCAGAAATTAGGGAATCATAAAAAGGTGAAAAACTGATGAAAATGAGGCTTTAGAAAAATTAACACTGGTCTAACACAATTTTGATAGCAAGAAGTAGACTGTAATTAAGGGACTTTAAGGAAATGTTATGAAAGTTCAAACTAGAATAGTGACTGTGGGAACAGAAAGATTTGGAGCACAATGGGGTGTGAAGAGTAACAGGGAGAAGTCAATAAACAGCTACTTTATTCATCCCAGTATCTATCAACTACTCTATTTTATCTCTACTTTATTCATAACAGTAAAGGAAAACCAAATGTTTTAAAACTTAAATCGTTAGTGACCAATCTCAGGGCCTTAAAATTTAGCTTCAAGTATAATTTAAAGTTTACCTTCATGGCAAAACTAGATGGCATCATATTCTTAGGCCACTCAAATTCTGTTGTGTGAATTCGTATGCCAGATTCAAGTAAAAGTGTAGCTTTAAAGTCTGGTCTGTAGAAGAAAAAAGTTAAATTTTTCTTTAGGGCACTTGTCAACGCTAACTCAGTAAAACAGACTAAAAGTGCAAGTAAAAAAAATTAATTATCTCATATTTAATTACCAAAGATAAAACAAGCCTGTAAATGTTCTTACTTTTGAAGACGAATAAGATAGGTCTTATTATCCACATCATAAACATTGTTTACTCTCATTCCTGTTAAGCTGCAAAGAGAAAGGAAACATGTAACAACATTTGAAATATAAATCTTCACAAAAATTAAAGCGGCAGGCGGAAGCAGAGCCTTCGAAAGAGGGGATCTCCAACTCTAAGGATATGGAGTCAACCAGGGAGCACAGTCTGAAGGCCACCAGGCATTCAGCCCAAAACGTAATTGTAACTTTTTATGAACAAAAGTGGTAATGCCAGCCCTAAGAAAACCATGCAATGCCCTGCGTCCTTGAAACGACCCAATATTTTTAAGGAAATATAGTACAATCTAATCCACTTTATTACAAAAGGGAAAAAAGATAAACGAAACCCTGGAAAAATGACAAAACTCACACAGCTGAATAGAAACCAGACTAGAATCTGTTACCTGCAGCTAAAACGCCGATATTCCCTCTCAGGAGTAAGGAGGAGTGTCAAAGAAATCAGGCCTCCAGTCTGGAAACCTCTGAGGCAAAAGATACTGGGGCATCCTGGCTTCCACCTGGTGTCTCGTGTTTTACTAAACGCTTGCTGCCAGACCCAGGCAACTCAGGCCAACAAGGCGAGAGCTCGGCGAGGACCCCGCCAAAGCCTGACATAAGACCTGGTGAGTCAGGCAACCCGCGAGAGCAGGGTGTGGGGCACGCGGACGCTGGGGTCCCCCCAGGTGTCCTGAGGGCCACGGGAAAGATGTCACGCGCTCGCCCACCCAGGCCTAGCCAGGTCCGCAGAAGAAAAGCATTGGGGACTAAGGGGAAATATCAGGCTGGTCTTTCTTCCACTTTGGGGCACTGGCCTCTGCCTTCTGCATTCCCCGCACGAGCCTGGTCACCTATCGCTCAGTACCTGGCATTCAGCTCCGCGAGTACCGCGCGGAGATCAATGGTGCTAAAGCGAGTCTTCATGGCGAGGTCTGAGTGTCGCTGCCGCAGTTTCCTCCACTGACTGCCTGACTCAACGCCGCTACTCTTATGCGCAGGCGCACTTGGCTGAAATCTACGGCCGCGCAGAAGACCCAATATTCCTTGAAGCGAAGGTGTTTGCGTCACTTTTCTGAAATTTGGACTATCAAGTCGCCGTCAGCTGGCTTTTCGTATGCCAAAAGAATTCGAAATAAACCCCAATTATTCTCTGAAAGTGCATTTCTTCCTGGAAAGCTGACGGACTAGTCCGGTTACCTTTCCCCCTTGTGTTTCGGGACTCAAGCGAGCGTCCCTAGTGACCCCTGCTGGTGGTAAAAATTTATGAGGCGCGTACTGGGAGGATTTCCCCTAGAAGGGCGGTAGGGCTCGGTATGCCAGAGCAACAACCTCTTTCCATTCGGTTACTTGGACCAGTAGAATTTTGAAATGCAACGAAGCGGAACTGTTTCATTCGCCTTACAATTACCCTCAATGATAAAGATGAAGCAACGTTCAGAAAGGAGTTCCTATTTTGATGGGCCCTGCTCTCAGAAGAATATTTTGAGATGTATTGTGGGATTCTCATTTAACCCATGTCTTGGCATCCCCTTGCCTCAGCGTAGTACCTGGTATACAATAGGAACTCCATAAACGCTAGGCAACCTGAATATTCAGGTGTTTCGCTAGATAATCAAAAGTAAGACAGAATAAGAGAAGATTGCCTCACCATGGGGAAATGCACAGGGTAGTAGGAAAACTGTCGGGCAAGAATGTAAGTAGGCCACTTTTCGTTGTGTTCGATAGATACATTAGAAGAAAGGATACTTTAAGGTGAGAACTCAAAAGAGACGGGGTCTCGCTATGTTGCCCAGGCTGGAGTGCAGTGGCTATTCACAGGCGCGATCCCACTACTGATCAGCACGGGAGTTTTGACCTGCTCCGTTTCCGACCTGGGCCGGTTCACCCCTCCTTAGGCAACCTGGTGGTCCCCCGCTCCCGGGAGGTCACCATATTGATGCCGAACTTAGTGCGGACACCCGATCGGCATAGCGCACTACAGCCCAGAACTCCTGGGCTCAAGCGATCCTCCTGCCTCAGCCTCCCGAGTAGCTGGGACTACAGGCGCGCGCCACCGCGCCCGGCGAGGATCCTGAGCTTGGGAGGATTCTCCAGTCTGCCGGCAGCCAGTCGTCACAATTCCCACCAGCAGAAGGCGACTCTAAGTTGAAAGGATGCGCTTGCCACTTCAGAAGAAAGCGGGAACTGTAGATGCTAAGGAGGACTGCTATAGGACATAGGGCACACAACATTCATTACTGCATCTTAGGACACAGTAAACCATGCAGAATAGCTCAAAATGTAAAATAAACCATTTGGAGAGTCAGGAAAGAGTGGGAGCCAAGTAGTCTGATGGTCCAAACTGCAAAAATGAGAGGTCCCGGGGTACATAAACAATACTAAGGTTACTATGTTCGCTCTGAAGGCATTCCCAAAAGATTGCCTAAATATCTGGCATCAAAGCAGCCGAGTAAAACTCCACATTGAAAGGGACAACACGCAGGTGTTTCTTTAAAAACAAAAACTGAAGTACTCATAACAAAACTCCCACCTTAGGGCACTGGACCAATAAGATAGGAGCAGGAACACTGATTTAAGTTATACAGGGTCCGTCTGCCTATCAACTAACTCATATGTTGCTTCTGCTTTGTCAAAGAAAGTGGGGATCAGAAAGAAAATGAAAGAAAATCCCTAAGGGAAGAGGTAGATCAAGATAAGTGTAAAAATTACCAGAGAACTGCATCATTTACTACAGATTTCTATCATTTCTAGTTTTTGAAGTAATTTCTCTGCTTTGAGAAAATTCTGAGACAGGGTTACTTGAGGACTTGTGGAAAAAATAAGAAGCAACAGGGTGAGCAAATCATCTTCTGATTTTCAAAAAGAAGATAAAAGTGACTATTTGAAACCACAGACAGTTGCTATTAACATGTGGTGCAACGAAAAATTTAGAGAAAATTATTAATGGATGACTTATGGGCATCTAGAATTATGATTCTCAAACTTTAGTGTACATTCAGCAATTACTGCCAACATAATTAAAGCAAATTCCTGGGCACCACACCCAGAGTTATTTGGCTCAACATATCTGGATTTTTAACTACCAAGATGAAAGGGGCTTCTGGCCCATACTTGAAAGTTGACTGATCTCTAGAAGATGAAGTGGTGATCACTAGGAACTAATGTAGTTTCACATAAAATAGGATATAATTAATCTTAGTTTCTACTCAACTCATGGACATATTTTATATACAGTCTTCAAGATTTTTAAAAAATTGAGGTAAATTCACATAACATAAAATTCACCATCTTAACCATTTTAAAATATACACTTCAGTAACTCTTAAAATATTTACAATGTTGTGAAACCATCTCCACTGTCTAGTTCCATAAGATTGGGATGCATTTTTTGACAGAGAGAGACACAGCGAGAGAGGGAACACAAGCAGGGGGAGTGGCAGAGGGAGAAGCAGGCTTCCCGCTGAGTAGGGAGCCTGATGCGGGATCTGATCCCAGGACCCTGGGATCATGGCCTCAGCTGAAGGCAGAGGCTTAACGACTGAGCCACCCAGGTGCTCAGGATGCATTTGTCATTTAAGACCTACTCACCCACCTTGGAAGTTTGCAGTGGACACACCTTTCACTGCAACAGTGAGAAATAAATTTGTGAGGGAAGCCTCAGCATCCTTGAAGTGTTCTACAGTCACATTTCTCTGTAGGCCAGAACTTACAGTCAGAACTGCTGCCACTGAATTGAGAAACCTAAATGCAATGAAAATAATTGGATGGTGAAGTGGCAGGGTCCAAATGGCAGCACTCCATCGCCAAAGGCAAATTGGGTATCATTACCATAGTGGGCAGCAGAGTCAAAACAGCAATCAAATAGTCTGACTCCTGGAGACCTGTGATGTTGGCTTTTGATCATGGTGTTCTTAGAAGAAAAATATATGGGAAGCCTACTAAATTCTCACTTGATCTGTATGAGTAGAAGAGTTCTAGCTCAAGTGAACAAAAAGCAAACTTAAATCATAAAAACAGAGTCATATTCAATCAATTTCCAGATTTGAGCCAGTTTACAGACCCAGAGCCCCTTGAATGAAAGGGAGACCAGGTCCCCCCCTTGAGGAAGAAACCTAGTATACTTCCCAAAATTTATACTGTTCATCTTTCTCTCAGTCTTCCCCATAGGGACTGATGGCCTTTTACCAAGGCAACTGTGCTTTGGGAAAAAAGGAAATGGTCAGTAAATCATAAAATTTTTTATTTTTATTTTTTTTAAAGATTTTATTTATTTATTTGAGAAAGAGAGAATGAGAGACAGAGAGCACGAGAGGGAAGAGGGTCAGAGGGAGAAGCAGACTCCCCGCCAAGCAGAGACCCCAACATGGGACTCGATCCCTGGACTCCAGGATCATGACCTGAGCCACCCAGGTGCCCAATCATAAATTTTTTTTAAAAAAATCCCTTTTGGGGATTGCTGGACACCAACTTCACTGACAGTAATTCTAAGAAACTCAAAATGTCACTTTGGTCCACCATCAAAGTAGGGGCTTGGGAGGTCAGGTGATAAATGAAGTTTTAGCTCAGATCTGCCTCACAGTGTTCCCAGGGGATCTCTAAACCCATCTTTTTACTTTTTCCTTTTTTTAAAAGATTTTATTTATTTATTTTAGAGAGTGAGAGAGAGAGGAGGAGGAGGAGTAGAGGGGGAAGGAGAGGGACAAGCAGACTCTGTGCCGAGTGCGGAGCCCTACGACTGGAGAGACCATGACCCAAGCTGAAACCAAGAGTTGGAAGCTTAACTGACTGAACCACCCAGCCGCCCCTCCAAATGCATCTTGTGGTTATTTCCCCAATACTGGAATGTATGATTGGAATAGACATACTCAGCAGTTTCAGAATCCCCACACAGATTCTCTGGCCTGTGGAGTGAGGCTATCATGGTGGGAAATGTCAAGCCACTAAAACTGTTTCTACCTAAAATGAAACATAATACCACATTTCTGGAAGGGTTGCAAAGATTAGTGTCACCATGGGGCACCTGGGTGGCTCAGTCGGTTGGGCAACCAACTCTTGGTTTCCACTCAGGTCATGGTCTCAGGGGTCGTGAGATCAAGCCCTGCATTGGGTTTTGCACTGAGGGCGGGGCCTGCTTGAACATTCTCTTCCTCTGTCCCTCCATCTGCCCTGCTCTCTCTCTAAAATAAATAAATAAATCTTTAAAAAAATTTAGCGCCACCATCAAGGACTCGAAAGATGCAGTGGTAGTAATTCCCACCATGTTCCATTGAACTTGCCTATTTGGTCTCTGCAGAAGACAGATGGACCTTGGAGAATGACAGTGGATTACTGTAAACTCAACCAAATGGTGACTTCAGTTGGAGCTGCTATACCAGACGTAGGTTTATTGCTTGAACAAATCAACACACCCCCTTGTACCTGATATGCAGCTATTGATCTAGCAATGTCTTTTTCTCCATCTTTGTTAATAAAGACCCCCCAGAGCAGTTTGCATTCAGCTGGAAAGTGCAGCAATACACTTTCACTGTCCTATTTCAGGGATATCAACTCTCTAGCCCTGTATCACAATTTAGTTCACAGGGATTTTGATCGCCTTTCCCTTCCACAAGATATCATAGGTTCATTACACTGATGACATTATGCTGACTGAGCCTAGTAAACTAGAAGTAGAAACAACTGTAGATTCATTGGTAAGACATTTGTGTCAGAGAGAGGAAGTAAATCTGACAAAAATTCAGAGACCTACTTCAGTGAAATTTCCAGGGGAACCAGTGATGTGGGATATGCCAGATATCCCTTTTAATGTGAAAGATAAGTTGTTGCATATGTCCCCCTTACAACAAAGAAGAGCCCACAACGCCTAGTGGACTCCTTGTGGATTTTGGAGACAGCATATCCCTCATTTGTGTATGGTACTCAGGTTCATTTACCAAGGGACTCAAAAAGCTGCTAGTTTTGAGATACAATAATGGTTCCATTGAACTGGAAGTTTAGACAGCTGCTGAGTCACTTTGGGTTCGTCGTAGCTCTG